TTAAAATAAGTGTTTTAAATTTTTTGAAAGTAAATTGTCTTTTTTTTTTTTAAACCACAATACAAGTTTTTTTCAGGATTCTTTGAAAGAATAGCATTTATTTAAAATATATTTTTTGTAACAATGTAAACAATTTAATGTGTCCTTGCAAATTAAAAGTATTAAAGGGGTCCTATTATGCTTTTTCAACTTTAGTTAGTCTGTAATGTTGCTGTTTGAGCATAAAAAAGATCTGCAAAGTTACAAAGCTCAAAGTCCACTTCAAAAGGAGATATTTTATTTAACAGAAATCACTTTTCAAAAACTACAACGAACGACTCGTTTGGACTACAACGCATATTTTCAGGGATTTGTGATATCACAAATACTGATGAATGTCATGAGACATGGTTGAGCTGCACTAGAGAAGGCAACGAGTGTTGTCACTATGTCGGCGACACGCTAGCTTTCCCAAGGCAGACGAACTTAGAGTGCTTACAATCATCCGGGTTTATATTGCGCTCAAATTGATTTGATTTTGACGCAATATTTACACTGAAGCTCGCAGGCTATGGTAAGGGGTATGACATTTCCCAACCAGGTGCCGAGTGCTGCCAATCACAACACACACTGGCCCAGCTAACCAATCACAGCATATTTCGTATTTCATTTAATACAGGAACTATTCAAACAAGTAGAAATATTTTAGACGCAAAGTCGGCAACACCAAAGCTCCAAAAGTATCAAAAAATGTAAAAATTAAAAAAAAAATTTTGATACTTTTGGAGCTTTTGGTGTTGCCGACTTTGCGTCTAAAATATTTCTACCCTATATTTCTCACCATTAAACTGGGGAATGAGAAAGTATTTTAACAAAGGAAAAACAAAACTTGACTAAGAAGACGTTTCAATTAAAAAACAGGTTCAATACTCTAAATGTTAACTAAAATCTAACATGACATAATTATTCAGTCTTTTCATGCCCTGCTGTTTGAATCTTACAGTGATCTGCAGGTCGGCTCCAGGCGAGAGCTGAGGCAGGCCGGGGGTCTGAGGCATCACTCCTATAGTGAAGGTCTGTGCATCACCCAGAGTCTCTGGATAGACCTCACTTGAAACCTGCCAGCAAAAGCCGCTAGCTTTCCCAAGGCAGACGAACTTAGAGTGCTTACAATCATCCGGGTTTATATTGCGCTCAAATTGATTTGATTTTGACGCAATATTTACACTGAAGCTCGCAGGCTATGGTAAGGGGTATGACATTTCCCAACCAGGTGCCGAGTGCTGCCAATCACAACACACACTGGCCCAGCTAACCAATCACAGCATATTTCGTATTTCATTTAATACAGGAACTATTCAAACAAGTAGAAATATTTTAGACGCAAAGTCGGCAACACCAAAGCTCCAAAAGTATCAAAAAATGTAAAAATTAAAAAAAAAAATTTTGATACTTTTGGAGCTTTTGGTGTTGCCGACTTTGCGTCTAAAATATTTCTACCCTATATTTCTCACCATTAAACTGGGGAATGAGAAAGTATTTTAACAAAGGAAAAACAAAACTTGACTAAGAAGACGTTTCAATTAAAAAACAGGTTCAATACTCTAAATGTTAACTAAAATCTAACATGACATAATTATTCAGTCTTTTCATGCCCTGCTGTTTGAATCTTACAGTGATCTGCAGGTCGGCTCCAGGCGAGAGCTGAGGCAGGCCGGGGGTCTGAGGCATCACTCCTATAGTGAAGGTCTGTGCATCACCCAGAGTCTCTGGATAGACCTCACTTGAAACCTGCCAGCAAAAGCACACACACCCATGCATGAATAGACATTTATAAATTAAACAGATACCACCGTAAACATGCACACGTTCCCACTAGAAAATATAATCTGTCTAAAAAATGTATTTAAACATTTCCGAGACAATAATTGGCAATCATTAATGTACTACATAACTAAAATCACTCTCAATATACATATTATTCTTGAGGTATTTAAATAAATCTGTCATCAATTCTAATACAAGTTTATTTCAACAGTGACATCTTGAGCAGACACCTAACAAATAGGCTGAAGCACTTCACGGTCACAGAAACACCCCTGAGGATATAAACTAAACTGTGTCGAACCATTAAAAGTCTAATCTTATTTAATGAAGTCGTGGCGCAGGGTGCAGCCTTAGGCAAGACGAGAGGAGAAAAGAACAAGAAGAAAAAGTAATTTTCTCGAGGATGACAAAAAACTGTTGTGTCAAGAGTCATTAGGGGTTTAAGCTGATGAATTGAATGTGACTGAATGTCCTTTAATGCTGCTTACACTGATTTGAAACTGGATTTGAAGACAAATTAGCTCATTTATACCCAAGTAATGCAGTGAGGCTGGTGAAGGAGAAGTAGGACAGATGGACAAATTGGCCTAAGAGTGTGAAACAGAGCTGAAGTAAAATGGAGAAAATAGTCCAATAGTGCGAGAGAGGAACAATGTGTTTATCTCTCTAAGAGGTTTGTGTTCGCTTCGTGCATCACTTGTAACAGGAGATACGCTAATCTAAAAGTCTGATGTTGTGTGTCTGAGAGAGAAAGAAAAGTTCTGTTCAGTTTGGGGTTGGCAGGATTTTTTTATCATGCTTTTGAAATCAATTTTGTGCATTCATGTTATCAAAAATACAGAAAAACTAATATTGTGAAATACTATGACAAATTATTGTAATAAATACCGTAATAAATATTATTATTACTCAAACTTTTGTCTGGTGCTTTGAGCATGAAAAAGAGTTTAACAGTGACTGGTGGATGTGTGTTTGATGAAAGGTAATGATTTTTGTTTTAAGTGGGCCAATCAACAGAAAACACCCTAATGAAACAGAGTAGAACTTCTACCGAACCCCTGTCATTAATTAAATGCATATCAATATATAACACATAAAGAACTATTTCTAACAAGCCAGAAGTCAAGTGACACCTATGGCTCTACATACTCAGCCGAAGGGCTCTTGTCAACACAACAGTATTTGCCTCATGTTAAATTTAATGCTCACTGTGTGTGTCTCACCTGAAACTGAAAAGTGTCTCTCTGTGTAGCGGATCCATAGTGTCTGTACCAGACAGTCCCTTCATTAACATCTTGCTGTGTAAATGAGCTGGTTGGTGTGGTATCTTGACCATCTGGGAAGGACTGCCATGCCTCCACAGGACCATCAGCAGGCATAGACACCAGCACAATCTCTCCTAGACACATAAATCACATTTTACCCTAGTTCATGGCACTGAATTGAGTTTAGAAAGAAAAACAGACATTGAGTAAGGAATGCTGGAGACAGATGATGATGATACCATATTTGGGCTGTCCGCTCTCAGAATGAATGGTGTACAGGATTTCAGAGTCACTGGTTCCCTGGAATTGAGCATTGAGGCACTTCTTAGACAGCTGTACCATTCCTCCCTCCCTCACCCAGGTCTTGGGCACTGAACGCAGGTGAGGAGTCAAGCCAACCTACAGGGAAACCATAATGCACCGTTAAGATTAATGGCATGTTTATTTCAAACCATAACAGCTTGTACCTTATAATAAAGTTAAGGTTATAGACAACAATTCAAAGGTAGATTTTTTAAATGTTTTTGAAAGATGTCACTTCCTCTCACCAAGGGCTGCATTTGCTTGATGAAATTTAAAAAAAAATAGTAATATTGTGAATTATTATTAATAAACTGTTTTCTATTTTAATATATTTTAAAATGTAAAAGTCTTTAGTGTCACAGTCTAAAGAAATAATTAGAGTATGATGATTTGCTGTTATAAAGAAACAGTTATTAATATCAGTATTAAAAGCAGCTTATTAATAGTTTTGCGGAAACTGTGATATACAGCTTGAAATTAAATTGGTACAAAAGATTTCTAGGTAACACATATTCACTATTAACTTAAGACTTTTCCCTCAATAAACTGCTAATTTGCTGCTTATTAATACAGTAGTAAGGTAGTTGTCAAGTTTAGGTATGGAGTAGGACTAATGTCATGCAGAATAAGGCATTCATATATGCTTTATAAGTACTAATAAACAGCCAAAATGCTAGTAATATGCATGTAATACGCAACTACTTAATAGAGAGAACTGGTCCTTAAATTAAAGTGTTACCGATTTCTAAGTAAAAGTATTCATTTCTTAAAAGAGTGTACCAACTTCAAACTTTTTTACAAAGTTTACCAATAGGCTGAAGTTGTTGCAGTGGTTTAATCATTATAAAACCACAAGATGATGTTTTTATTGCATTTTACATTGAGAAACATCAATGCCACAATACATTGAGAAACATCAATGCCACAATACATTGAGAAACATCAATGCCACAAGAAGATCACAAAGACACATGTTAATCATACATACTCCGCTATCGCTATGCCAGGAATCTTTAGATCCTAACAAGGCTCTGAACATCCCTACGCTAGCTGAGGAGCTGATTGTAGTGAATAAGATAATCTGCTTCACAGATAATCAAAGACCTTCAAGGACGTGGGGAGATGAAAGCTCCGATTCACAGAGGAAACATCTTGGCACCCTTCCACCACCTTCCTGCTGATCCTGATCACCTCTCTGAGAGCGGGATGGATTTATAAAGCGAGGTGTTCACGGAAGAGTTCACTCATAGGTCAAAACTATAGTCTGTTTCTAAAGAGTCTCACAATTTAATTCAGAGTTTTGCTACATTTCATGTAGTGAAAACTTTTTTTGCCGGTGTAACCTACTGTACTCAGGTTGATCCATTCATTTTACGTAACATTTCCAACTTCAATCGGAATTTGATGTTACCACATGAAACCATTTTTTAGGTTACTTGATAAAACATATTGTACAGTGACAGTGATAACTGGCAATGTTTCTTTCTTTCTTCCTTTACAAATGCTAGTAATATGCATGTAATACGCAACTACTTAATAGAGAGAACTGGTCCTTAAATTAAAGTGTTACCGATTTCTAAGTAAAAGTATTCATTTCTTAAAAGAGTGTACCAACTTCAAACTTTTTTACAAAGTTTACCAATAGGCTGAAGTTGTTGCAGTGGTTTAATCATTATAAAACCACAAGATGATGTTTTTATTGCATTTTACATTGAGAAACATCAATGCCACAATACATTGAGAAACATCAATGCCACAATACATTGAGAAACATCAATGCCACAAGAAGATCACAAAGACACATGTTAATCATACATACTCCGCTATCGCTATGCCAGGAATCTTTAGATCCTAACAAGGCTCTGAACATCCCTACGCTAGCTGACGAGCTGATTGTAGTGAATAAGATAATCTGCTTCACAGATAATCAAAGACCTTCAAGGACGTGGGGAGATGAAAGCTCCGATTCACAGAGGAAACATCTTGGCACCCTTCCACCACCTTCCTGCTGATCCTGATCACCTCTCTGAGAGCGGGATGGATTTATAAAGCGAGGTGTTCACGGAAGAGTTCACTCATAGGTCAAAACTATAGTCTGTTTCTAAAGAGTCTCACAATTTAATTCAGAGTTTTGCTACATTTCATGTAGTGAAAACGTTTTTTGCCGGTGTAACCTACTGTACTCAGGTTGATCCATTCATTTTACGTAACATTTCCAACTTCAATCGGAATTTGATGTTACCACATGAAACCATTTTTTAGGTTACTTGATAAAACATATTGTACAGTGACAGTGATAACTGGCAATGTTTCTTTCTTTCTTCCTTTACCTTTTCCTTTCCCTTTTGATTTAGAGATCAAAGTGGTGGAGAATGTGGGTATTTGAGGTCTCCGGGCCACATCAAATCAAGGATCATTCCCCAGTGCTGACCAATTACATGAATCAAGGACTACAAACACCAATTGACTTCTCTTAAAAAGGCTAATTGAAAGTCAGCTTCCTTTTTTTATTCCTGTCATCATTGCAGAAATTCACATACTGTATTAAAGATCTTTTGAAATCAGAGAACTTGCTCCCAAAGCCAAAGCCAAAGCCAACAGGTCATTAACCCACAGTCGTCATGTTGCCTTCTCAGCCTTCACCTCTTTCTGCTCTCATCACCTTCGTGTTGTGGATGTGACGTGACCTTTCCACTCACTGGTAGTTGTGTGAGCGCAATAGACTGTGATCCAACTAATAAAAACGATGTGCTATTGATCTGCAAACAGAGTGTTTACTGCGAAAGAGGGCTTCCATTAGTCAAAAGCCGCTTAGGATGGTAGATAACAGACTGCAGCAGGGAACAAGGCAGGTGTAATCGGATGACACTACAGAGAGATATGTGGATAAGGGTCTATGGAAGTGGGGACAGAGCTTGAAAAGCAAACAAAGTGCTGAAATCTGTCTAGACATCAGCAGGCTAAGGGCATGTCAAATAGTCAGGAAGGGGTCATTTCAAGCATAAATGGGGTGGTGATGGTTGTAAAAGTGTGTATGAATGGAGAGAGGTATGAGATGGTATTCATGAAAAACACTTTATGCACTGCAGTCTAGATCACAGAATCTATCCATTGTGTCTCAATGCATCTGCACTGTGAGAATTTTTTTGCAAAATTGTATCCTTTGTGGTACTTATCATATTGCTACCATATCTACAGGGTACATATTAGTACCTTAAGGTATAAATATGATCCTGTGAAAAAACAGACCCCAACAGCGCACTATAAAAGGGGTAATCTGTAACCGAATTTGAGCTGTTTCTAGCTTAAAACCCTTTAAAGAGGGGGTTTCAAACCCAAAATATTAACCCCACCTGCAAGGGATTTCCTTCTAAAATTATAACTGAAGCTACATAATTTCTTGTATAAATAACCATGCGGGTGCTGGATGCTGGGGCCTATCTCTGCGTCTCGGGCTGAAAGCATGTATTGCTGGTGATTTTTATTATTGCTGGTGATTTCAACCATGCCAATCTGAGAACAACTCTCCCCAAATTTTATCAAAATGTTACTTGCCCCGACAAGAGGAGACAATACTCTTGATCATGTTTATACAAACATCCCTGATGCTTACAAAGCAACTCCCTACCCCCACGTTGGACAATCTGATCACCTCTCCCTGTTCCTGCTAACCAAATACACCCCAATCATTAAACGTGTGAAACCCACTGTGAGGGCTGTTAAAGTTTGGCTGGAAGAAGCAGACTCTTCACTACAGCAGGAGTTCCAGAACACAGACTGGAATTTGTTTGCTTCTCGGGCCACACTGGACTCCCACACAGATGTTAATACCTACACCAGCTCTGTTCTGCATCATATCAACGAATGTGTTGGCAAGGTAACCACCCATAAAATAATTAAAATGTACCCCAATCAGAAACCCTGGATGACCAAGGAAATCCGGCTCCTACTGAAGGCACGTGACACTGCTTTCAAATCTGGTGACCGTAAAGCCTACAGCTTATCCAGGTCCAATCTGAAGAGGGGAATTCAATCTGCTAAATACAACTACAAACTGCGCATTGAGGACCGATTTAAAAACAACGACCCTCGGCACATGTGGACAGGCATCCATGCCCTCACAAACTATAAACCAGCAAACAGCTCACCCCCAACTAGCAATGCCACCTTCCCTGATGAACTGAACAACTTTTATGCTCGCTTTGATCGTGGAAACACAGAACCCCCCATCAAAGCTGTGCTCACATCTGACGACCTGCCGCTCACACTTTCCACCCGTGATGTGTGCTCCACCTTGCGTAAGGTGAATGCACATAAAGGTGCCGGCCCTGACGGCATCCTTGGCCGAGTGCTTAGGGCCTGTGCAGAACAGCTGACAGGTCTTCACCAACATTTTCAACCTCTCTTTGGCCCAAGCCATTGTGCTTGACTACTTTAGCTCAAATGAAAGACAAGATGTGTGAAAATGAGAGAAATGGAAGGCTGCATGTCGATTTGATGCATTTGAGGTCCAAATGGAACTCACATGGACACAAATGGATACAAATGCTGTTAGAATCCAACCTTAATTTATCTATCGTGAATTCATTCTTCTATTTTTGGCCTAATTTATAGTCAAAGAACAGAGATGGTAAATGCTGCAGGCAGATTCGAACTTGTGTTGTCCACATCAGTACCAAAGCATTTAATGCGCAATACGCTTTTTGTTTAAAGCGATTTACACTAATGAACATCTATTAGGTTGCTGCTGCACAGAGCTGTGGAAAAAAGCAGGCCATTTTTGTTTACCACATCACTCCCTGTTCCCTACACAAGAGTAAACGGTTTATTTTCAAAAGACAATCTTTTCCCTCAGGGAGGGATTATTGCATTTTTTTTACTCTATTTCTCTTATAGGAATAGATTTGATGTCCTTACTCTCTCTTCGCTTTAAGATACAGGTTCTATATTTCAGCTTTAACTGCTCATTTAACAGCAGGAAGTGATCTGACGTCTTGAGCTGCTGTTATCAGCCCATGAGGGGCAGGAATGTATTTTGGGTGTTATTTGTTGCAATGACATCCATTCGATTTCTGTCGGGGAGCTTGGGTTTCTCTCTCTGTATGTGTGTGTGTGTGTTCATTGGGCTGGTGGAGGTCAGACAGCAAGACACAGGCAGTTCTCTGGAGACTGTATCTATGAAGTGTAACTAAAAGCTGCAGAGGAATAAGCAATACACAGAGAGTGCAAGATAGAATGGGAAGAGATACTGGCTCAGTATGAGCTATAATGCTCTCCTCAGGGTGAGGATAATGGCCAGTAAATCTGTGTTAAGGATGTGGACTATGGGTGTAAGCAAAGACGAGTATATGGCAGAGAGTTCCAATTTTACATAGGCAAAATAATAACTTTTCGAAAACCATACATTTTTGATAAAGGAATTGTGACACTCAATATGGTGACTACAGGAATTGAATAATGTTATGAAGACGTCCATTGAGTACTTTGTCCTCTATAGGCACCTCTAGGCATCAGTAGACGTTTGGACAGCATTGACTTTTCATGTAAAGATGTGTGTTTAAATTCATTCATTCATTTATCAATTTTTGGAGCAGACAGTGAAGGACAAGCTGCCAACTCAAATGCCCAGCGTACATGGGAAGACTTGCATATTGGAACAGTATTGTTTCAAAAGCATCACAACTGGATATTTCATGAAGTTAGTTACGAACCTGCTAAGGGTGTTTGAGCTGAAATCCAGGCAAAGACTGACCACTTTAGATAAGCTAAAATATACGATTTTAATTTGTTTACCTTTTTTGGGCACTACATAATTGCTTTGAGTGAGTTTATTATTACTCTAAAATGTGTGAAATAAATATATGTGGGCAATTAAGATTTATGAAATGCTCATTCAGAATATTCCAACTTCATTAACATTAGAACAAGGTTACTCCTTTGCATACAAATATGTGACCCTGGACCACAAAACCAGTCTCAAGTCATTGGGGTATATTTGTAGCAATAGCCAAAAATACATTGTATGGGTCAAAATGATAGATTTTTCTTTTATGCCAAAAATCATTAGGACATTAAGTAAAGATCATGTTCCATGAATATATTTTGTAAATTTCCTATCGTAAATATATCAAAATTTAATTTTTGATTAGTAATATGCATTGCTAAGAACTTCATTTGGACAACTTTAAAGGCGATTTTCTCAGTATTTAAATTTTTTTGCACCCTCAGATTCCAGATTTTCAAATAGTTGAATCTCGGCCAAATATTGTCCTATTCTAAAATACCATGCATCAATGGAAAGCTTGTTTATTCAGCTTTCAGGTGATGCATAAATCTAAATTTGGAAAAACTGGCCCTTATGACTGGTTTTGTGGTCCAGAGTCACATATGAAATAATTAATGCAATTATTAGTAAATGAGACCATAAGTCCTCACAGACTCCCATCTCCTTTTTGTTTTATCTGTCTTGTGACTGCAGAATGAAGCTCCATTACTCAGCGTTCTTAAACAAGATGTGTTTGTGTGTGCATGTGTTTACCTGCTGGGAAAGCGCCTGCACAGGAACACTCTGAGGCTGAGAGAACAGCTGAGGATCTGCTGCCCTTAACATGAACTGCCCACTTCTGCAAAACAAGCCAACATTACACTGCTGTAAATAGATTCAAGGATCTAAATAACGAGTCAGGGTTTGCCTACATTTTTCTACAAAACCTGAAATCATATATACTGTGGGGCTAAGCAGAAAAAAAACAGCTTGATAAACATATTAAATAATGTCTCACTGTTGAAATAACCACAGCAAATAATGTCTTAATGAAAATTATTAGCTCAGTCTCTAAACAATGCAAGTCGATGGGAAGTAATAGTTTTCATTTCACATTGTGACAAAAACAAACGTGTGTCTGTGTGTAAAGTGGACGAAAACAACAGAAAAAGACACAATAAATAAAAGACTCAGAGAAGCAAAAGACAGAGACCAAAATTACAAAAAGACTGAGTGGCTTTTAAAGAGAAATGATTAAGACTGAAAAACTGATACATTTGGGAAAAAGAGGGATGAGGAATAAAATAGGAGCGAGAGGGCACACAGATCACTTGTTAATTAAACCACAGAGCAGAAGGAATCGAGAGGAGCTATTAAGGAGATAAACTGTGAGAAAGGTGAGAGAAAACTGAAGGTCAGCAGTCAGTCTGACTTAGTGACTGCCACACGATCACCACAAATGCTGTGGCTTATGAGCACTGTGGAGTGTGTGTGTGTGTCCTGTCAAACGCCTCACCAACTTCACCGAGGTAATTAAAGCTAATGACTAGTGCACACTACACAAAATCAGTCCATCCCCCAAAACACACACTCTCGACACCCCCTCGCCTTAATATAAGGTCATTTTACTCCTATACGGCATCTGATTATCCAAAATCTGTCTGTCTAAGCAAAAATGGGCCATATCCCACAGGAAATGAGGAACAGAGATGCCACCTAAAGTGGCATTTCAGGAGATGAGGAATGAAATGTTAAACATGAACTATAAATAGTGAGTAAACAATATATAATGAATGATTGTACACTTCCATATATCATATATACTGAAGACAATATACTTCACTCACTCTCAGACAGCATGAATGCACTGTAATGCTGTTAATGAGAGTAATACACTGTAATGCTATCGGTGATCGAGGACATATTGCTTGGTCTACTTTTGAATCATTATGTTTTTAATGACTTCTGAACGTAAAATAAATTTCCTGGGGAAACAACCCTGGATTTATTCCATCACTCCAGGTTACACACATACTCACTTGGGCTGCTCTTTGTCATGAATGAAGCGCACAACTCTACGTTTGAGCTGAGTAAAGGTGAAAGTGTCGTCTCTGCCCAGTGCTCTCTCTCTGTCATTCTCCAGGACCACGAGATGCCCGTTACTGGCTGGCTGAATGAGCTGGAGCAACATGCTCTCTAATTGGCTATCTGCATCCTTGATTGACACGAGTGCTGGATCCAGAGGCTTAACTCCACCAATAGGTACCAGCAGAGAGCCATTGATGTAAAGAGATGGAGCGCGGCTGTTTGCTGAAGAAACAAAAGGGATGCGATGTTCAAACACTCCTACAGTCTTAACAGTATTAGAAATAAGAATTTTACACAATCCTGGCTATAAAAGCATTCATTTCTATCAAATATGTGAAGTTAGGTTACCATGGCAGGCTCTTGTTTTGGGGTCAGCATAGTATCCATGACCACAGTCCAGGATGCACTGCCCACCCTTCAGGAAGGAGTTCTCAGCACAGACATGGCACCCACCTGCACTCACACACTCCAAGCAACCAGCTGAGCATGCTAGGAAATAATAGCAGACAATCTGTCATCAGATTCAGGTAGGACACGAGAGGGAACTGCATCACACCATACTGAGCGCCTCTAAAATGAGCAGGCATTACCATTTAAAATGGGCAATCTAGGCAGTCACGATCACTCTCCCAGACCAGATTCACAGCACTCACCATTGCACTGACGGGTCGAGACATCTAGAAAGTAGCGCTTGCCACATTCCAGCACACAGTGCCCGTTCAATACGGCATATGGCAGCTGGCAGCGTTGGCATCGGCCATGGACCTGGCACTGCTCGCAGTGTTCATCACAGCCTGTTCATAGAAAGAATAAGGGAGAGAAAGGCTGAAGACAAGAAATTTGATTTATATTTAATGAGATCCCAGTTTTCGTCTATCACTTTTAGGGTTGCAAAGGGGTGGAAAATTTCCGGTAAACTTCCTGGAAACTTTCCAAAAATCACTGGAATATTCAAAAAAATTATTTCTGGAATGTTTCCGAAATTTACTGGAAATTTTCCACCTTTTTGCAATCCTAATCACTTTACATACTGCAATTTTTTTTTTATTTACTGTTTAAAAAGTTTGGGGTTGGGAAGATTTAGCATCTTCAGTGTCACATGATCCTTCAGAAATCTTTCTAATATGATGATTTGCTGCTAAAGAAACTTTTCTTAATATTAACCATGTTATAAACAGTTGTGATGCTTAATATTTTTTGGAAACAAATACTGCACATTTTTTCCCAATTCCTTGAATAGAAAGTTTATTTGGAATATAAATCTTTCGTAAGATTACAAATGTCTTTACTGTCACTTTTAATAAATTTTGCAAGTCCTTGCTGAATAAAAGTATTTATTTATTTGAAAAATCTTGCTGACCCCAGACTTTTACATTTATAATGCAAAATATATTACATCATTACTAATATTACTATTATAATGCATTTATAAAACATTAAAAATACATTTTAAATAAATGTAGTTTCCTCTTGCATTCTGCTAAACTGCTTTAGTATTAGTGAGTTAAATACTACATGCTACAATAACTGGATAATAATTAAAATTCACTTATTGACCTATTGATATCTAAGACTGAAGAAAGTGAATTTTAAGTAAGAGTCAGGAGCTTCTTCAATGCAGTCCATAACTACAACATTGCTGATAGACTTGTCTTTCAGTCTCATTTGAAATCAGCCCATTAAAGTGCCATTAAACCTTGGCTATAGCACAGCGACTGATGTTGGCACTATACAGAAGACATTAGAGGGCCCCAACTGTGACAACTGACTGAGAGATTGAAATGTCAAAGTTTATTGAGCTGGAAAATTGATTGGTTGGACTCATAATGAAGGTTGTTATTTTTGTTGATGACTGACTCAGACATCTCTCAGCATCCTGGTAGAATCCCAGTGAGCATCCTGGCACACAAATGCCATCCTGCAGGACGTATCCCTCCATGCACTGCAGACAGTCACTACGCAGGGGTCCGCGGCACGCGTTACAGCTCCAGTCGCATTCTGAGAGAAACAGAGCGAAAGAGAGAGTGAGTGGGAGGGATATAGAACGAAAATATAATGAATTGGAGTTTGATTGAGGAAGACAGTAAAATAAGAGCAAATGAAAAAAGAAAAAAGGCCACGAGACAGTGATAAGAGAGCATGAAAGAAACTAGATTTGCATGTGTTGAAGAAAATACCAGCGCTTCCGAGGAAATGCATGATAAAGACCAATCACTTTCAATTCATTATGTAAATTCCAACAACATTATTGCATGCAGGAATGGAGAACTTTTTAGAAATGCTAATTAATAAAGCAATACGCCACGAGAGGCTGTGTGTTATAGTGATTATACTGTGAGTAAAGTGAAGTGCTTAAGTACCCCACACATTTGTTATTATAACGCAAGTAGTGACAGATCTTTTCTTCCGCACTGAACAAGATTATTAAAAAAGAAAAAAGAGTGGGAACTTTGTTCTATCTGTAAGTTGCCGATTGGATGGAGGCAGATCTAAATATGAGTTACCAGTCAATTATAAGGAACAGTTGGGTTTAAGTGGATTAGAGAAGTCCGGTATATGTCAACAGAGAGATGTATTTCATTTCACTGGAATGACATTTTAATTAAAAGTTAATAGGCCAAAATTTGCTTTAAAAATAACACATATACATTAATAAGATCAATAAGATGCATTGAGAAAATAGACAGGATGAATTTTCATTAACATTATACAAAAGATATCAATGAACATTAAATAGTTACATTTATTATGTATAATGAATAAACAGTTTGTCCACCAAGTAAAATAGTCCATTAGTCTAACTAAAAGCTGTTTACAGTTAACAAGGCAGTAACTTAATATTGAATTAACACGTGTCATTTAAAAACCACTTTAACACAGCTCATCTAATCAGAATGGACCATTCTTTTTAATTGACCTTTCTTTTTATAAAACTATTTATAATTAATCATAATTTGATAGCTGTTACTTTACTGTTGATTTTAGCACGGTTGGAAAACTGTATTGACCAATTAAAAGCCATTAACACAACAATACATTTTACAAGGGACATTTTATTTTAGGAATTTAATGTTAAATGTGTTAAACTATGACATTTATGAAAACCAAAAACAGACAGTGCACCTAAGGCTGAAATTACCTGAAAAACCAAGCTTGAATAGTGTCTGTACAAAAAAGAAATATGAGGAATTTCAATATGCTGCTCGACTTACAATGAGAAAGAGAGACCATGTTTCAGTTCTCAAATCATCTATTAAAGAGAGTGCTAGCTGACCATTTGATAACTCACTTGCAGACCTCCGCTCTCTAAATCAGCTCAGCTCATTAAAAAGCCCCATCACGCTCTTTCTGTGCTCTATCTATATAACCCCATCATCTCTCCCCTCATTTACCAAACCATCCTCCCAAAATATTTCAAACATTTAACTGAAAAGAACAGTGGCTAACATCATTTAACACTACATCCAATTCAGACCTCTGTGATGTCCATAAAAGCAGCTCATTTGTCCTTATGACATTTAAACTATGTCCTTCTTTCACATTACCCATCCATAAAGACACAAACAACAATGATGTGTTGCATTATTAAAGTGCTCCCTCCAAATACTGTCAAGGTAACCTTCATTCCCTGTACTGCAGGGGTAAACATGCCAATAAAGCATTCATATGCCCACTATTATTGTCTCTCTTTCTGCTTCACTCGAGATCACTCACACACACATCCAAAAACTCAAGGGACAAAAACTAATCTCCACAGTATCTCCTTTTGATCTCCGCTGCAAATCCCATCAAAATGAAAGAAATGTCTCACGGTATGGGGTCTATGTTCAACATCCAAATCCCAAACCACATCGTATTAAGATCTGAACACACTCACAATTATTAACAAAAAAACAATCTTCTCTGCAATTACTCTTGCTATCATCTCCACAGTAATCTTCTATGAAATATACTTGACCTTAATTACTAGAAAACGGATACATCCTATTTTTCCCTGCTGTTATGTGTGAGTATGTATGTATGATACACCATGTATCATACACTTGCCAACTTTGTATGTGATTACAGAGAAAAACTGGGCATCACTATAACGACTTTCAAGTCATTCTGAACACAACAAACTCAAGAAGAAACTTGCGCCTTGTTGCTAGGAGACACGTGACAAATGAAAACAATATGTGTTCTAAAATCGCCTCAAAATATCAAACATGTTTGATCCTCCGTCTGGATGAACTCCAAAAAAAGTCTGGGTCCATCATACACTATGACCTTCTGAGAGATCTGTGTAGTGAATTCCAGCCTTTCTATGATGAACGCTTAAGGTCTATGAAGCACCAAAAAAGAACTTGGCTTCTGAGCAGTACAAAAGAAATAAATACAACAAACATACACACGAAAGAATCAGTGAAACAGAAACAGTGTAGTTTAACAATGCAGGAAGGAAATGAGGGGTAGTTTGTAGTCTAAATGAATATTATTCCATGTTTAACAGTGAAACCAGGCTGAGACTCACCTCTGCATGTGCGCGTGGTGGTGTTAAGATAATACTGATGAGCACAGCTCTCATACTGACACTCCCCAAACAGAAGAACTTTAGCTGGATCACTACATGATGTGCACACACCCGCCATCTCACAGCTCAGACACTGAGCGTCACACACTGAAACACACACAATAATCATTTAATCAATACTTATCTGTCAGATGCACATTAAAGGGGTCATGAACTTTGTACTGTTCTCTGAGGTCCACTTTTAATGTTATCAACATTTTGTACATCAAAAAACATTATAATTTAGAAATAATTTTCTGTCCTGTTTTGATCCCCCTCATCAGAACGCTCTGTTTGAATAGGCATGGCACATTGTAGACTCGGAAGTAAACGCCCACCGCTATGATTGGCTAACAGTTGTGTATGTTTGACAGCCTACATCCTTCACAGATGGACACTGCTGTGATTTAGGTTAAAAACACATAAATACTAAGTACATATCAAACGATCTGTAATAACAGTTAAAGCAATAGTGACCACATTATAAAAACAGTTACTCACTGTTGGATCCAATATAGTTAGCACAGCATCGTCTTTTAGTTTCAATCTTTCAAATTGTGCCTTGTTTGTAAACAAATCCGCGGTAAAATGACATGAACAAAAGACCAAGTTTTTACTGACGCAGTTCGGCACTTCATTAAAAAAAGTTAATCCACTCTTTCCTAATGTTGGGATCAGAAGGAAGGCGATGCAAAAGACTGTTTTTCCACAACTTGGCACTGCACAGTGTCTTGTCTTTGGAGTCATGCTTATCGTTTGATTTCTGCATAGACCTGCGTTTGCCTTTTGTTATTTGCACTACGTGTCAATTGGTGGGCGGGGCTAAACAGGCAGCGATGTAGAAGCAGGCGTTGATTTTCTTCTGCGGAGGCAGTGTTTAACAACACTATTACATCATAGAGTGACACATTTCACACCTTGTCATTTTGCAGACTGGCTTCAATATAAGCTGTTTTTAGACTAATTAGAAAGTTTTGAGTTCTGAAAATTACAGGATGTTTTTACAGTACAGTGACCACTTATATGTCAAAAGATCAGGGGAATTTTGATTTCTCATTTCATGACACCTTTAAGTAAAGGTGTACTTACTTTGGCACACCCTGTTTTCATCAGCGTAATATCCAGTTGGACAGCGAGGGCTGCAGAGACCTGATGGGGCCAGAACCTCAGGGACCAAACAGGAAGTACAGGAGTGAGGACCATCCCCACTGCACTCCTCACAAGAAGTGTGACATTCTGGAGAACACAGGCACAGGACAGTAAGAATGATGACCAGATAATTAGGACAGTAAGAATTATGATAATGAGAATAAGATAATTATGTCAAATGTTTCTCAACTTTGGAAATATGATAAGTAAGTAAGGCTTCATTTACACCCTAATATAATACTATATTATGTTAAGGTGTACTATATATACACTGTAAATGGCTGTTGTATTTAATATGTATAAAAGATGCACATGATTGATTTAGACAGGACTCAGTTTTAGCAGATAAAGGTTACTTAAAACAATAGAAGCTTGAAAAATAGAGCAACACTTCTATTCATTTTGACATTTTAATCAGTGCTGTTGCCAAGGACATTTACGTTTCATGACAGTATTATAAAGACAGAAGACTTAAAAGGAATACTGTTGACATCCAGCACTTGAACTCAGAAATTTCCATTCACATATTACTTTAAATCTGCTGTCTACTTGCCATATCACCTTCAAACAGGCCAAAGACATGTGACAATGCTAAGTGCAAGTAAATTCCATTGCTGGTCTTTTGCCTTTAACGCACATAGTGTGTTATATATGCACATTCGCGTATAAACACTTTTGTGCACACACACACACACTCCCTTGATATCACCAAGCAATTAAAGAAGGTCATAACAGTTTATAGATCACATCAGCATCTTAAAAGATTCTACATTAAAGCCGAGCACTACATCACACTCCCTAATAAAAACAAATGCACCGTCTCATCTACACTGTCAGCAAAGGAGCCACTCTCAAAGCATCACAGGTAATTGCATCAGGGTTATGAAAACAGAGGCTCCGGCTATATTACATTGAGAGATCATGTAGAATGACAAACCAGTGTATAAAGAGGATGCTGGCACTGAGATTAGACGCTGTGTGTGTGACTGATGATGCTCAATATACATAATGAAACTCAATGCTGGAAATAAAGCAGCACACGTTTTTCTCAGAGGAAGACAGTTAGATGATGTTGAAAGATAAGAAAGAATTATCATCATGCGATGCAGATTAGGGTTGCACTTGAACGTACTTCCCTCTAAAATCAGTACAACCGTACAATTTACTGTTTGCTCAGAAGGCCTACTTTTCAGATTAATTTATGACTACATATAAATAGGCAATCTGAGAAACAACGCGAGCAAGTGGAGTTGTGTAAACACAGGAGCAGTGTAGCTCCATTACTCCCATTATTTATTCATAAAGATGTTTTAGATGTCATGTGAACATGTGAATTCCTAATTGTTACTAGAAAATAATGAAATCTGATTTCATGCATTAATCTTGCAGTTTGCAGCATCCATATTGCTATTGAATTATCTCACAAAATCACTGCAAATCACATTTGTTGCACATTATAATTTGGACACCAAATGATTTCCTATATATAAGTGACTCTAGAATAATAAATTTGATGTGTGTTATTGCTTGATCTAAGACTGTTCTGCATAATAATGCAGTGGATCATGTGTAGCCTGGTTGTGGGACTACGTTTCATTTTTTGCTCATTAGCTTTTTTTCCCCATTTTAACTTACTTTTGCAAGCTCCGTGCCACCGGTAGTATCTGGGTGGGCACTGTGATACACAGTGATCTCCCAGCAGCAGCATCCTGGGAACCTTACACCACAAACACACAGTGCCAAAGCCAGACTGCAGGTCTGCCACACACCGCTGGCATCCCTCCTCACACTCTGATAGAGAAACAAACAGACGGTGAGCGTACATTATTATGCATATCCATAAGAACATCCTGAACTGAAGAGAGGAAATGGAGGAAAAAAGATCTTATCAGATTCTTATCTTCAAAATGTTCTAAAGGTGTAAAAGTAAACACTGTGGTATCTGTATATCCTCTCTCACTCCTTATCAGCTGTGAGAGCAGACTGGCTTCATTGCCATGGACACGCTGAGGGCGCTGATAATAAAGAGATGTATATCAACCAGTGAAAATCTTCGTTGGCTCATTTCTCAGGCTGAGTGATAATATGTAGGCATGAGGCATCGGTACAGATTCTTTGAATTATACATATAGTTCATACTTTATTTACTCATATTACAAGATCTAAACAAAAAAGGAGGTCTGTGAAATGTTTCTGAGGAAAAGCAGTTACTCAAACAGTAAGAAGTGCTGCTGTAACCTTCAGCACATAATAAAAATAGGAGCTCTGACAAATTGTGAAAAAGAGAATAAGGTTATTTTAAATGTTCTTACATAGTAAACATACTGTATATTTCAACATGTTGACAATAACAAGTCATGGTAATTATTGTCTGTGGTTTTTCAGATAAAGTGCATATATTTTGAGACTTCAATGTCAAAGTCTTTCTGAACGATTCAACTAGCACTTTACAACAGCAAGGACATATTTACAGAACATAAACTGATATAAACATAAACTCATCCAAACTGAACCATTTCAATATCAGTCCTCAAGCTTCCATTTAGGAGCCTTTTACTGTTACATAAATCATCAAAGGTCACCTTATAACAAAACATCACAATACAGGTTTACACCAGTTTTAGAAAAGTGTCACATTAGACAGCACGCAGAATGATTTTAAATGGCCCATATTTTCTAAAAAGAGTGGTAACATATGCATAAATAGGTTTCATGAGGAAAAATGGATAACACTTTAGTATAGGGACTAATTCTCAATATTAACTAGTTGGTTATTAGCATGCCTATTATTAACATATTGGCAGTTAATTAGTACTTATAAAGCACATATTCTGCATGATCATATTCTACAACTCTAATCCTACCCAATACCTAAACTTAACAACTACTTTATTAACTATTAATAAGCAGCATATAAGGAGTTTATTGAGGCAAAAATCATAGTTAATGATTTGTTAATAGCGAGAACTGGACCTTGTGTAAAAATGTTTTCTTTTTTAAAGAATTTATTACTTTTATTAAGCAAGGATGCATTAAATGCATTAAACAAATGAGGCAGCAGAGATTTTTATAATGTTACAAAACATTTTTATTTCAAATAAATGCTGTTTGTTTCTTTTCAGATCAAATCAAAGAATTCTTTTAAAAAAGTATGAGTTTAGACATAAAATATCAAGCAACTGTTTCTTGCACACTAATCACTAAATCAACATATTAGAATGATTTTTGAGGATCATGTGAGATCATTTTAAATGTATTATTAAACACTCTATATCTCAATTTGCTCTTTTTATTTTGTTTGTGCCTGCTTTGACTGACAGTCACATTTATCTTCTAGTGTGGATAAGTGTAGACTTTCTCCACTTACTGCTTCCAATTTGTTTCCTCATGTTTACTGCACAAAACCTCCTCTCTTTATGAGACACAGACTGGTACTTCAGCCACATTTTATTAAAACCCAAATAACTGGATAACAGAATTAGCTAGTTTCAGAAATAAAACTGGCTCAGAGCACATTCGACAAAATAATTAACATATTTCCCCATTTACGTACTCTTGGCATTGACTTTACAACAATAGCTGACATGCCCTTTGAACACCAAATCCTTCCCTGAAGGCAAAATGCCCATTTGACACCTTAAACCAAGCTGGTGCAATGACTTGAGATCAAAGGTGTCGCCTGGAAGCATTTAAAGAATGTCTTGGTGATGGAAGATTGATTTTCACTCACCAATGCAGTAGCCCACAGCATTCAGGCACTGGCCCTCAGGGCAGCTGGTTCGGCAGTAGCCGTTATGGAGACTGGCGTGGGCTGGACAAGCAGAACAGTCAGCCTGAGACGGGCCCGTACACTCCTTACATGATGGATGACAGGCTGAAGGGAGACAAAAGAACTACATTATATTCATAAAATAATCTATTGAATTGTACTAATCCACAGGGACACAGCCTTCGGAACAGAACAGAATAACACCCAAAAACACCTTGGCAAGTACGGTCCTGAACATGGAAACCATTGGGACATTTATCGAGACACTGCCCTTGATGAAGGACACTGGGCCGTATACAGGAAGTACAATTCTGGAAACTTCTACCAGTGCAGCCTGAACATGAGATGTGACATTCTGAGAGAGAAAAACAGAAAGAAAGTGATATTAGTCACAGTCTTGTAAACAAACTCAAACTGTGTACCAGATACCCCAATAATATAATATAATATAATATAATATAATATAATATAATATAATATAATATAATATAATATAATATAATATAATATAATATAATATAATATAATATAATATAATATAATATAATATAATATAATATAATATAATATAATATAATATAATATAATATAATATAATATAATATAATATAATATAATATAATATAATATAATATAATATAATATAATATAATATAATATAATATAATATAATATAATATAATATAATATAATATAATATAATATAATATAATATAATATAATATCAAATAATATAATAAGCAATAAATACTTTTATACAGCAAGGATGCATTAAATTCATCACAGGTGTCAGTAAAGACTTTTACATTAATATAAAAGATGTATTTTTTGAATGAATGATTTTCTTTTGAACTTTCAGAATCAAAGGATCCTGAAGAAAATTTGTAATGGCTACTGAAAATTCAGCTGTGTCATTGCAGGAATAAATAAAAATGTTCAATTATATTAAAATAGATCTTTTATACATACTTCATAACGCTTTACTGTTTTGTAATCAAATAAATGCAGCCTTGTTGAAGGGATGTCTTTCAAAAATCAAAAGTTAAAATTTTTTAAAGGTTTTAATAAAAGTTTCAATAAATGTAAAAACAAAACTTTCAAAGCTGAGCACTCCACATGTACTATAGGAAGATCAGAGAGCGGACTTCATTTCAGGGCTCAGGACAACAATTTTGTAGAAATTATGCCCAATCTGCCTTTAAGTCGTATATGTAGACAAAGTGCATTTGCTCTAGAAAGGCTGTCAGTCAGAAAGCTGATCCATGTGCACACAGCTGAATGAAAGCAGTGAGCTCCAAAAAGAAAGCCTGTCATGGGTGTGAAGTCTGGACTCGTCTCCACTAGTCTACCAGACTGAATGTGAGAGACATTTGGCAGACACATGCAGACAACACACACACACACACACACACACAAACATACATAATCACTGGAAAATACAAAGATGCAGAGGCTCTTGACAATCTCCTCGATTTGGAGTAAAGCCCTTAGGACACAGGTGTCAACAGTCATGCTCCACTGCGACCCAAATCATCCACTTGTCTTTAAATTATTTGTCTGTTCAGCCAGGTTTCATTGTCAATCAGAACAAAAGGGCTTATCTACCCCTGTAATTCAGTACATTCCCCAAAGAAGAATAGTAGGTGTGCTAAATACTAACCCAGGAAATCCGTATTCTACTGAGTGAATGTGAGACAGGGCTAAGCTTTCTTTTAATGCAATTCAGACACACACACACAATAAATATGCCTAAATGCCTCCCATATTGACCATTTTTCTTTTAAATTACATTTCAAGCCATGGGGTGTGTTTTGAAATGAAGCCAGGATATTGGAAATGGTACATGAGTTCTGAAGGTTCACAGTGATGGGATGAATTCTTTAATGTACTTTGAATCGATTTTTAAACTCACACCATAGCTGAGTGTGAGAGGCTACTGTACTGTTTGTTTAAACATGCCTAAAAGGTATTTGGATTCTTTTGGGCACTCAGAACCGCACTTAAATGTCATTAGTTAACCACACTTATACAAAAAACCATTACATATTTATTTCAATTTTCTTAGCTATCTTTGCACACTAACCTTTAACCAACTAGGCTCTTTGTAAAGCATTTAATAATGCAATAATGATTGTTATCAGTAAAGGTTTTAATGGTTGCCCACAAAATATAAATAATACTAATAATTGAAAATTATTTAAATTGGCTCTTGCTTTCAGATCACACAATAGTCACATTCCAATTTAATTATTTATAGTTCTTGTCACCCTATTGAGTGAGACTAACACACAAACATATAGAGGCCTGCAGAGAGACTGACTTTAGAGGGATTTACAGATTGGAATTTCCTCTGCATGATATCTGATCCATCAGCACATACACACACACACACACACACACACACACACACACACACACACTCCAGACAAGTAGCCCTGAGGAAGCTCAACATTTTGTCTGAGCATGCTGGCTCAACACAAAGGTCTTCATTGAAGAAAGAGGCACTTGCCATTATTATAGCAGTGAGCTTCATGACAGTGGACCCATTGAATGAACAGCCCACTGGCCACTTTCTCACCACCTTCAGTGATGTTCTTCTAAGTCAATTAAAACAATATATATATATGACCATGGACCACAAAACCAGTCATAAGTGTCAGTTTTTCTAAATTGAGATTTGTACATCATCTGAAAGCTGAATAAATAGGACAATATTTGGCTGAGATACAACTATTTGAAAATCTGGAATCTGAGGGTGCAAAAAAAATCTAAATATTGAGAAAATCGCCTTTAAAGTTGCCCAAATGAAGTTCTTAGCAATGCATATTACTAATTAAAAATTAAGTTTTAATATATTTATAGTAGGAAGTTTACAAAATATCTTCATGGAACATGATCTTTACTTAATATCCTAATGATTTTTGGAATAAAAGAAAAATCAATCATTTTGGCTATTGCTACAAATATATCCCAGCAACGTAAGACTGGTTTTGTGGTCCAGGGTCACATATATATATATTGATTTGGTAACACTTTACAATAGGATTTAATTGGTTAATGCATTCTATATGGTGTACTATCAATGAACAATAATTTGAAAGCATTTCCTAATGTAGGTTAATATTAATTCGTTCATATATTAATATATTTTTTAACAAAAATTATTTTAAAATTAACAGTATGTTTATAAAGAAATATGAACCTAAACATTTAAATGCTTACAAGATATGCATCATGATGATATTAACCAACAGAACCCCATTGTAAATGGTTACCAATTAATTTTATTTAATACAATATTTAATTGTGAGCCATTTTAGAAATAAATGCAGAATGAAATTTATCATATTCTGACAAATAAAAGTTTTATACACCATATCTGACACGTACTGGAGCCAGAATTCCATTCCTGTGAAGCTCTCAGCATGTGGGAACATCATAAAAACAGAACTGATTCACGGTGTAAAATTCAGAAACCATTCAACGGGACTGTAAAAGCAACTGTAAATTTTATTCGGTGCTGTGGGGGGCGAGGTGTTGGTGGTACTACAGAAAGCCTGCAGTCCTTCAGGAATATACCACAAGCACATGTTCTCATACAGTTTTAATGTAATAAATTTCTGGGTTTGTGTATGATGGCTCACACCCGCACTTTTTTCCGAAAGATAAGCCTTTTCTTTTAATTTTCAAAAAATGTCATTCCAAATCCTTTTTGACAGGATTTGGTCAGGATTTAAATTTGAAATGAACAGCGTTCTCCACAGGGTGTTTAACATCCTGTACAACAGCCCTGGTGTATCTGGAGTGAACTGCAGATCTTCAGTCATCGAAGATTAAGACATTGGGAATAACTAGTGCAAACAACCTGCAGTGCGTCACTCAACACGACGACATGCACATTCTTTTTTCCAGCGTTTATCTTGCCATCACTTCATAATCAGGGAGCTACTGAGAATTAAAATGGCAGCGTATGTGTCTTCATCTTCAGAGAAAAATAGAAGAATGTGTCTTCTTGTTTGCTCACCTCTGCAGGTCCGATCTGCGTCAAGGTAATGCTGTGGCCTGCAGACAGACATACAGGACCCGTGAGAGACATGTCCATTTTTAGGCAGCAGGACCTCTTCCTGTTTGACACACTGCATGCAGTCTGAGGAGTCCGGACCCACACAGACCCTACACAATGAATGACACCCTAAAAATAGAAAGAAACATGTTGAAAAAGTAAAGTTCATAGACACATGAAAGCTGCACACAGCATTGTATCAAAAAGGGAATGTCTCTTTGAATTTAACCGACCTTAATTTATGCTCCATAAAATTTTTAGACTTTAGTTTTAAACCTAAATTTTAGCCATTTCATTTTATACCTCATAAATATAGTTAGATAGTTTAGACTTTAAAGCTGCTTTTGCAAGGGGACCACGAGGTACATCCACACAGTTTATGACATTCAGATTTCATGCACGCATCCACACCTTTGATTTTCTATCATGGTGGGAAATTTTACATTGACTATTGTTTTTTAAGAGAGCTAATGACATTTCAGTCCCCCAAGCCATAAACCTAACTCTCACACAAACCTTTTTACATTTTTTTATTTTCATTAAGTCATTTTAGTAGACTACCATTCAAAAGTTTGGCATCAGTAAGATTTTTTGTTGTTGCTGCTATTTGTTTTTTGAGAAAAGGTTTATACGTTTGATAAAACATTTTTTAAATATTAATATTGTGAAATATTATTATAAAACAATATTATTGTGATGAAAAAGCTGAATTTTCAGCAAACTTTACTCTAGTTCAGTGTCACATGATCCTTCAAAAATCATTCTAATATGTTGATTTCTTATCATCACAGTCGAAAATGGTAAGGAATTGTGGAATCCATGATACAGTGTTTTTGTTTTTTTGACTCTTTGATAAATTTTGAAGTACAGCCTTTGTTTGAAATAGATTTTTTGCAACCTTATACATGACTACAATTTTTTTCCTCAATGTAATACATTCTTTATAAATAAAAGTATAAATTTCTTCAAAGGGTAGTGTATATTTTTCATACTCCCTACAGCCTCACTACAGTGTAGATATATATCTATATACATACATTCTATAACACACACACACTTCTGTGAACAAATAGGCTGAATCTCTAGACAGAGTAGGTTATCTGTATTCAGGACACACACACACACTCACCCGCAATGCAGTACTGATTGACATACTGGGGCAGGGGACAACTACACTTAAATGGCTACAGGTAACAGATAACCCATACTGAACAAAAATCCTCACTTTCCACACTACCTTACAATGCAACATACATGTGCATCTCACTAAATTAGAATGTCGTGGAAAAGTTAATTTATTTCAGTAATTCAACTCAAATTGTGGATCTAGAGGTCTATCTTCAACTGCAAGCAACTTGTCCCTCCATTTAGTTTTGGATATCTTAAAAATTCAGACCAAATTTTAAATACATTTTTAATGATGCATTGCATCAATTAGTGAGTGGTCGAATCAAATCTTTGCTAAGTATTACACAAGAACTCTTTAGGACAGCTCATCTTTGATCTATCCTCTTTTATCGTGACCCAGTTTTCACCACATAATTATGTAACAGTGGGAGGAATATCAGAGTTTTAGAAATGCAGTCGTACTGTGACAGTGTCCCCCTCTGGAGAACAGTCCCTCTCCGCAGGACTCCACACACTGGCCTTGGTTCAGGATGAGAAACTTTGAGCAGGAGGTGCAGTGAGACCCAGCTGGCCCTGAGCAGGACGCACACGAACTGTGGCAGGCTGGAAGAACAACATAGGCGTAGTTCAGGAGGTGGATTTAGTAGAAATCCCATGAGATGAGAGCAAAAATTACCAACCAGGACCTATTGTAACTTATAACCTTTCAGGGCCAATTTCATCAAAGTCGGTTAGCAAAAATGTAACTTGTCTTGCTGGAGTACTTTAGCACATCTCAAATTCTGGAATTATTGTGGTTTTGCTACTTCCGAATATCCTCAGTCATAATGTATGGAGTTTCTTATGAGCCGGTTAGGTAGAAAAGTGTTTGCAAATGGACTGTACACCACAGGATTAGGCTTGACTGTATTAATATATCATTTTAAACTCAAAATCATGCATCAAACGAACATCCAGACATGACAATTTTCTAACCCATGTGGTTTTGCTGAGAAAACGTAGTTAAGACATTTCAAGGGACTGACTCCAAATGACAGGGAAACTTTCCAAAGAATCATCTCTGGCAAAGAAAATGGGTTTCAGAATGAATGGTTTTTCAATTCACTAGAAAAGAGATTTATGAGTTTGTGTTTGCCTACATCAGGGGTGCCCAACCCTGCTCCTGGCGATTGACTGTCCTGCAAAGTTTAGCTCCAACTCTAATCAAAGACACCTGCATTTAATTTTTAAGTGATCCTGAAGACCCTAATTAGTTGCTTCAGGTGTGTTTGATTAGGGTTGGAGCTGAACTTTGCAGGACAGTCGATCGCCAGGAGCAGGGTTGGGCACCCCTGGCCTACATGGACATGTTGAACAAAATATTAAAAGTGTAAAAGAAAACTTTTCACCTTGGCAACGGCCGTGGTCATTCTTGTAATACTGTGGTGGACATTGTGGTACACATTTCCCCTGATGCAATGCATGTTCAGGGGTGCAGCTCATGCAACTGGGGTTTTCGGGATGACAGGTTGCACAGGAAGGGTCACAAGCTACAACAGGATATAAAAATGTGTTATAAATATTGCATAAAAAATAAGACAACTAACATTTGGATTAAAGAACTAGTACAACCTCATGATTAAAATATCACAATCACAATGACCGCATTCAAAAAAAACAAATTAATGCAGAAAAGCCTCAGGACTTTCAAAGTCAGCATGCAAGATTTAAAGTGCTCAAACCACTAGCTATTTTTACCCATAGCCAGAAACCCCAAAAACTCCCATCAACACAGTTCTCTCATATGTTAAACAGACAAGATGGATCTGTGGAGCTTAAGTTCTTTCACTGTAAAATACACATTTAGAGTGTCATTCTGCATTTGCTGTAGGGTTGTCAAGGTGAAGCTTAAATGTATTCAAGGTGACATTTCTGAAGCAGGCTTTTGTGTCTACTTGGCAAGATATTATCATCAACAGTGATAAGACAACGAATAAGGCCATAAAAATGTCATGACAATCGGACTAGTAAATGCTACATCCATCCAATACAAAACATTTCCTATTTATATTCAAAGAATAATAAAAAAAAAACAAATTAAAATTATTGGGTGCACTGTAAGGCTAGAATACACTGCACAACTTTGAACAAATTTGAACAGATAAAAAAAAAAACAGGGATCATAATCTTGCTAACTTGCTGCCCCAGAAAACACTAAATGACTGTGGGTCATACACTATAAGACATTCACAATGTCTTGAACACAGCAAACACATGCAAAAACATTTTGCGTTTATAGGAGACGTGTGACAAATAAAAACAGGATGTGTTCAATGCTTGATATCCTCCGACTGGATGGAGTAAAAAGCTAAAAAACGAAATATGTGCCCATCATACACTAGGCAATGTAAAATCTATCAACTCCAGCTGCTAAAAATCTGCAGACTGGGTCTGAAGTTTGGCAACTAGCGATGACTCCTTTAGACTGCAAATCTGGATGAAATCTGGGCAAAACTTAGTGTATTTCAACTTCAAGTGGTGATAAAAAAACAAAGTTAGTTTAAATTGTTTAATTTCAAACAAACATTTTACTCAAACATTGTTTTAAGCAAATCTGTTAAATTAAAATGCTTTAATTAAAACAAACCACACAGAGTAACCAATTAGATCAATTAGACCAATCATACCATAACAGCTGCCTTGATTAGCATAAAAGCCTGGACCACAATCCGAAACACAGAATCCATCCTTCAGTAAGTGGGAGGGGTCTGAGCATGTCAAACAATCCTGAGGCCCCACCCCCTGACAAGATGAACAGGAGTCACGGCAACCTAAAGAGGAAGAAATCAATAACATGTTCAAAATCAAACTACACAAACAGCATAAGGCAGAATTACACGGTTACTTTATGTTCTAGTGTTGTGTGGTGGCTTTTCTGTGATGAATTAAAGTGAATTTACTTTGACTGCGAGAGAATACAAGCCAGTCAGATAAGAACAAAAGACGACCTTTCTGAGGGAGCTTGTAAAAGGTACAAAAAAGGCAGAAGAACACATTTGCATATATAAAGAAAGTCTCACGATTTGAAGGACACATACAGAATCACATACATAAGATGTTGAATATGTGCATTAAAATACATAATGGCACAAATAATACAAATGTATCTCCACTAAGAATAAGTGGTAAGATTGTAAGAATATATCCAAAGGCCTACTGATATCTAAACACCAAATACAATCCTTTGCTAATAAATTTATCTTTAGGCCGATTAATGTTTTTTTTGTCACCGGCTAGTCGCATATTTCCAATATTTGGAAAAGCTTGATTGGGCTTTGTGTAGATATGGAAGGAGGGTTTTCTCTTAGTTTTTCCCATGAAGTTCAAGATATTTGCTTTGTAAAATAAGTGACCTAAATTTGAATAGTCAGGGCACTAACTCAATCTCCCTTTAGCAAATTTACTGAACTACACCACATAAATATATCACACAAGCCTTAAAATCTCATCAATCTACCATCTCTTCTTCAGACAGAGAGAGAGAGAGAGAAAGCGAGAGATGTGGAACAAATGAACAGATTCTTCAAAATCACCTTCTGGTCCTTTCTGTTTATGAGGCTGAATATAACAAATAATAGAAGATGTCTGTTATTCCAGATTTTGAACATTTGTGAACAAAATGTGAGTGATGCTAGCAATGCAAAACGTGGTGCCACTGTACTAAGGTGTTGTACTAAAGACTATGTGGTAAATAAGATGTTCTGAATGGTTCTTAATGTGCTATTCTGTTGCATATTCCACCAAGTCACCCTGATAATCTGGTCTCTAGATGTACCTCCAACAATTTACACATTTTAAATAAATGCTGTTGAATGCTGTAATGCCAAAAAGCTGAAAAAAGTTTCCACAAAAATACTGTTTTCAACATTTAAAATATTACTGTTTTTTTAAATACTGTTTTTTTTAGCACCAAATCACCACATTAGAATGAATTCAGTAGGATCATGTGACACTTAAAACTGGAGTATGCTAAAAAAAAATTCAGCTTCTACTATGAAAAGTAACATCATACCTCTCATTAAGTCACACAGCTGGTGTCATTCATGTCCACAACAAACATGGTGAGGGATGAGATTCACATTAAAATGTAGTACTTAGAAAATAAATACTGATACTTTCCTTAGTAAGAACCACTTACTTCATATCTAATGTTTTATTTTACATGTAATTAATTATGCCTTGTGTCAATGTTTTTCAGATTTATGTACAAATACTGTATTTTTTTTACCTTATGAATAATCAATGATTTTAAATGGTTACAAATGCCACAGAATCTGTGAAAACAGTCTCTAATTATGTTGTGCAGCAATAAGGTCACAAGACACCTTCTCTTATTCTTTGTGGGAATCTAGTGCTCAGGATTAAGCTACAAATCTGGGCACAGCGCCCGGTGTGAAACATTCACGGTTCTACATGGCACCTCTCCACAGACTCACACACACTGGCACCAAACTGGCCCAGAACCCTGAGAAGCTGGAACGGGACCAAATATTTTGACAGCCAACAACAAAGTGTGAACAAGAGATGTAGGTAACCATGTTTAGTGGATCTGGAAAAGCTTGGCATGCTAGAAAAATTAATGACAGAACACTTGGCCATGTCTGTCAGCACAACTCTTTAAGGTTTTACACGACTTCTTGATATGCTGCAGATGTGAAAGGATATATAGTACTTTAAGATATCCAAGTTGTGGCATGTAAGAAGTGTTCGTTAAGTTCTGTTAGCGGTTTGTTTCAAAATTGCAAACCTCATATGTTACATGAGATAATTTTTTTTTAACTCTATTATCATTTAAAATGTAAAAGAGAAAGGGAGAAAGGCACAGACAAAGAGAGAGAAAGAAAAGAGAAAAAAAGATGAAGGGCTTCCTCTAAGATTTCCTCATTTTTTAGCTTAACTAATTAACTTCTTGAACATTTGCATTTACACTCAGAGAGTGAAACAAGAGAATGAATCGTTATCGCTTGGCCACAATAAAAATCTTCCACATTCATATGTTCAGTAAGACTCGTTCTCGCTAAATCCATTATAATGGGCTCAAACTAAGCTGGATATTTCTTCTCCATCTTGTCGCTTGTAGAACAATGTGGTCCAATTAGTGGGAGAGGCTTATTAAAGTGTGCAATTGAATGAGAGTGGGGACTGGAGTAATTGCTGTACAGTCTAGTGGTCCCAGTCACAGACCAGTTAACAGGTCACTAATGCATGATTCCCTCCAGATTGGATTGCTATAGTCAGGTAGCCTGACAAGACCAGGTACCCACGTCTTAAGGTTGATTCTTATGCAAGGAGTGAATGCACTGCAGATGCAGTAATGCTCCATCTGGCTTTAATAACAAAGAAGAAATTGACCTTTTAGAGCTAACACGATGCAAAATGTTGAACAATAGGAATTCCACATCTAAATATATAAATTGGGCCCTTTTGCTTATCGAGGAAGTAAATACAGCTTCATTATATAGCAATGAACAATAAATTAATATTTAACAAAGAAGTAAATGAGTAAATCTTAGTCCTAAAAAATAAATAGCAGGTGATATTTGCACCTTGTCTATATCAATAAATAAATACAAAATTAATTAATAAATTAAGAATTCGTTTGGTATCAGTGAAAATGTTGTTGTACTAAGATGATTCTCCATTTAATTAATAAAAAAAAATACGGTAATGTTGTAAAATATTATTACAATATAAAATATTTTTTTCTATTTCAACCTGTTTAAAATTTAGTTTATTCTTTAGATGGCAAAGCTGAATTTTCAGCAGTCATTTCTTCAGAATTCATGGTCAGAAAATCATTCTATGCTGATTTGCTGCTCAAGAAACATTTCCTATTTTTACCAGAGTTGAAAACAGCAGCTTAAGGAAGTATGGAAACCATGACTTTTCAGAATTCTTAGATGATTAAAGTTGAAAAATGTTGAATAAAGTTAACTTGAATAATTGTTCAAAATTATTTGAAATAGAATAACATTATAAATGCCTTTACTTATATGCATTCTTGCTGAATACAAAATGTATCAAATCATTGTAATTTTTGAAAGGCTGTAAATATATATATATTTACGTACATTATATAAATTAAAACAAATAATAGTATTGTATATATTTAATATAGATACATATATTAAATATGCATTTATCATTCTATTTAATATCTATTTAAATAAAATATAAGAAATCCCCCCACATGATTGTAAAGCGCTTTGGGTGTTCAACAATACACAATAAAGCACTATATAAATGCATCATTCATTCATAAAATATATTTAAGACACGATTTTGGGCAACATTTCTATGATAGCTCCACAGACGCATTAATACTGTGTTATTACAGTATTACTGCCATCTTTCCTCAAGAGTTACCTGCTGAGATGCAATATATATATATACAGTATATATATACATATATACACTTTCTTTAAAGCTGGTAAGACAGTCATAAAAGTACAGCAGAAGTAAACAGTATCACAGAAAGTCAAGACAATAAAAGTGAATGAAATGTAAACAGCAGCTGACTTACTGAGACAGCGTGTGTAGTCCTGGAACAGACCTCTCTCACAGGTGGTCACACATTGCCTGCCACTGAGGAGATAGGACCCACCACATGCTGTGCATTCAAAGTCATTCTCACAGGTGGCACATGACGGCTGGCAGGCTGGCAGAAAGAGAAAAAGAAGGGTGATGAGGGTTGGGCGATACACTTCGTGGCTGCAATATCAAAAAACTATGCGAAAGCTGGGTACAAAGCACTGATACATTAATAGAGATTCTGTGTGAGAGAATTAGTACAGCAGCTTTTAAAGAGTGACTATAAGAATTTTGTCAAATGATGCTATAGCCAGGGCCGGATTTACGCATAGGCATTCTAGGCACATGCCTATTTTCGCTCGTCCAGGGGGGGCCCAAACACAATGAAGAGATATATAATATTTTTGTTATACTATGGGCTATCTACAACAGTAAAAGAACCAAAAACCCCAGAAGACATTGAGCAAATAAATATAACAAACAATAGGGTAAAAAATGACAAATTATTTCCATGTCTTCCACCTTTTTTATGTAGGCTATACGAAAATCATGCTTTCTTTCTCCCGTTCTCTCTCACAGAGACGCACACACAGTGCAGACACGCACTCGCGCACACACGCGGAGATACGAACAGAAACACAGTGAATTTATAAGTAAAATAGTTTCGCAGCTGAAAAGCTAAATGACATTTCTCAGTAGCGAGATTCTTGAAGCAGTTTAACTTAGAGATTTGCTATTAGTAGACGCTGTTGCTGAATACTGCTGAGAGACGCATAGACGCAGGTATTCACACACACTTAATCTCTCTCTCTCCCTCTCTAATAACTGCGTTAGACTGCATTAATAACTGCGTTAGCCTGCATATCAAATGGCTCAAGCCTCTGTTATTAGCTCTAAAATGATGTTTTGGAATTTGCAACGGAAGGTTTGGGATGAGGTGCGTAAAACGTTTGTTCAACACACGAGATTTCAGGACGGAAACATGTCAAATGTCTTGAAACAAATCATCTGAACAATGTCTTGATGTGTGGTTGTGACTCCAGGCCATTAAAATTATTAGAGAAATAATGCACTCCCGGAGGTGGTTATGTGGCCACGACTATATGGTATGGTCTTTCTCAGTTCTCAAACAAATTAAGAACTACATTCGATTTTTATTGACTGAAGGCGAGTGCTTATTGCGATAGAAAACACTGTAATGGTTTCCACTGATTAAGAAATATTTTTGTTTGCTTGAGTGGTAATATTAGGTCTATTATATTAATATGGCCCAAAAATGTGTTTTGCCTATATCACGAACAGAGGCAAATCCGGCCCTGGCAATAGCCCTCCAAAGTGGGGGGAAATTCCAGTGTAGGATCCGGTCTGTGTTTTGACTTGTTGAAATGACTGTGACAAACATGACTCATGTACATGTACATCCACATACAGTACACACAAAACACAAACCAACAAAGCTATAGGATTAGCTATTTATGGAAGTCACCCAAAGCAGAGGGCGTTTTGAGGATTTAAAATACCATAGGGTAAAAATATGTTTAGGCCAGACATGTGTGAATGTTGGTGGGAAAATAGAAGGAGGAGGAGGAGGATAAAGTAAAAAAGGAAGTGAGATGAAGAGGCGAACAGCAATTCGTGCAACAAAACCAGCGAGGGCTGTAAAAGTAAAAACACACACACACACACAAAAAAATAAAATGTTTATACCTGCACAAACTTTGCCCTGAGTGAAAAATCCTTCAGGACATGACTGCAGACAGCGTCCATTCATCAACAGGGCAGAAGGGTCCTGACAGCTGTCACAGTGATCTGGTGTGCCAGAGCATGTCAAACAGTCCCTGTGACACTGCACTGCTACAGACACACACAAAAAAACACAGTCAAACTCCTCAGATGACAGATAAAGCTACTTCACAAACACCCATTTAAATTAGAATCGTTCACCTCTGCTCTAATAAAACAGAACCAGTTGGCCTGCAGCTGTGACAGTACATTTGCATTTTCCTAAGGCATTGCACAAACCCAAACGTCACCAAAAATGGCTGAATTTACCTATTAAAGAACAACCATTAAAGTACCATTTATTGTGAATGCTTTAGGTATTTTTTTTAAACGAAGAAAAGCTGTTCTTAATCATAGCCAATATAACATTATTATTAATATTTACATTGTCAAAGGGGTATTTAAGCAATCATGAGTACTCAAAACCTGTCACACTTCCAACAATTGAAAATACTTACATTTAAAATAGGCTTGTGGATAGTGTGGAAATTAATCTACACATAGTTCTTCACTAAACCATATACACGTTCAAAAAGTTTTGGGTCTGTAAAATGTCTAAAGTTTTTGAAAGAGGTCTTTTCTATTTGCCAAGGCTGCATTCATTTGATCAAAAATACAGTAGAAATAGAAATATTGTGCAAATTTAAAAATACCTTTAATATATATTTTTATTATAATTTAAAAAATTTACTTTATTCATGTGATTTCAATGCAGAATTTTCAGCAGCCATTAATCCAGGGTTCAGTGTTACAGGATCCTTCAGAAATCATTACAATATTGCTGATTTGCTGTTCAAGAAACATATTTTTCTAATATTAACATTAAAAGCATTTCTTGTGTTTCCTAATATTTTTGGAAAGTGATCAATTTTTTAGGAGTATTTGATGAAAAGTTCAAAAGAACAGCATGTATTTGAATTTGAAATCTTTTGTAACATTATAAATTATTTGAACGGTAGTGTACCTGCTTTTATTCACTCTAAACCATATATTTTCTTTTAATATTAACAAATATTATTACATCATATAATGCTTGTATGTATGACGTCATGGTCATTTCTTCTATAGTCATGCAAAAGAACCACCAAATCTCCCACCCAGTCTTCAGTGTACTAATAAGCCATTCATAACTTCTCCACATGGTCCAAAAGAAACCTGAGCCTCTAACTATAATTCTCTTTGGCACAAGAATTAATTACACCGTCTCTAATGAGCTGGTAAATCCCTTGCTAAGGACTTTGGGTTGCAGGTTTCTGGCTCCGTACATGAGGCCAGAGCAAGAGACATGGAAATAGGGCAATGCAGAACATTAAAGGTGCGTTGGTAATTATTTGATGGTAACTCTCAATTTTTGGACCAGACTGCAAGCACAAGGCCAGACTCATATCCAGAGGCAGAAAATGAAAGCTCTGAGTCTTTATTATTTTCTGACATTCCCTCATAAATCACTTTTAATTAAATACCTTGGTGTGTGAATCAATAAGTCTTGGGGAAAAACTATCCTACTCTCCATTTTCCAGTTGAAGTAAGCATTTTTTACCAGAACGACCTTTGAGACTTTCCATCGATTTGAAAAATCTACTTGTTTTGAGTGCAAATATATTATAATACGGTCAGCAGCTAGTAAATCTTTCCGAATCGCAGTGTTTCTCACAGTAACACTGCAAGTCATTATGTCTCAGACAATCTATCTGATAAAACACTGATGCTGGGCTCCTTCTGTTCCTCACAACAGGCAGTCAAGTAACAAATGGTTATGTGGCTGCGAATGCATATACACTGCCTTTGCCTTATTGATCAAATCTGGACATTAACCAGCTAACAAGCGCTATCACCACGCAAGCTTCTACTTTTCATATGTGCTTAATAGTGCTTATGATAAATATAGAAGGGAAAAGTATGTTTTGTTTTTTGTAAACAGGGGAGCCGTTTCTTGTCCAACGTTGAAGAGAAAAAATTCTATTTGACTGCTGTGTTTGGAGGATACATTAGCATAATCTTATAAGCATAAACACAGAGATGCCAAACGGTCAACCCACGCACATATAAACGTCCAAACAATTTGCCCCGTCTCTTCAGATAAACATACAGTACATATCTATATAAAAGCAAAATGTAAACACAAACACATTCCGTTTTCTCTCTCTCTATGGTCTTTCCTAAGAGAAAGAGAGAGAGGAAAATGTTCCTTCCTGTAGCATCTTTTGAAGTCACCAGGGAAATTTAGTATATAGATCAGATCCGAGTCTCATGGGTGCCGCAGAGTTAAAAAACCACGTTATCTAACCAGAATATAATCTAATGCTATAGCTCTCATCTCTCTACCACCCAGATCAACTATGTTTTGTCTTATGGTTGAGAAATTGTTCCTTGGAGGGCTGATAAAGAAAGATTTTCAGAACAATTCAGAAATGTTTTTAATCACATAAAGAAATGCTTTTAAACTGGGAATAGAATCATGTTCTTTTGAAGTAAATAAATCAAAGTATAACCCCAATTTCACTGATTATATTGGAGCATATACACAAGACAGCATGGTAATTAACTACTGTAGCTTCGTACACCATTGCTGTTTGGGAAATGAACACCAACATAGATGCAGGTCTCACCTGGATTGCAATCGGGACAGCACTGTTCAGGGTGAGGTATAGTTAGGGTGCCCAGTGGACAGGTGGGACAGGAACGCTGGTAACAGATCACATGATTCTCTTGACACTGACACACACGACACAGCCCCTCTCTGACACTCTCTAGATTCTGAGACACAAAGAAGAGTAAACAAACATTTTTGCTTAGACAAAAGATCTGTTATAATAATATTTTTTTAATTTGCAAACCACACGCTTATGCTTACTTACAGTAAGGCGTCTAAAACTCTTGATGTTAAATTTCTGCCCCTAAATAGACAAAGACAGTCTGATTGTTGGTGGTATTGATTTGCTTGTCTTTTTTTCTTCGTTGCTATCAAAAGCTTCTTGCATATTAGCATTTGGGCTCAGTATTTATTTATTTATTTTTGAGAGAGAGAGAGAGAAATGAATACATTTATTCAGCAATGACCCTCAATTGATAAAATGTGACAGTAATGCATTTATAGTGTTACAAAAAAAAAATGTTTTCAAAGAAATTATTTTCTTTTGAACTTTCTCTTCATTAAAGAATCCTGCAAAAAATATATCGTAGTTTCCATAAAATATTTTCACAAAAGCACATCTGTTTTCAACATAAATAATAAGTAATGATTCCTGAGCACCAAATCAGCATATTAGAATGATTCCTGAATGATCATGTGACAATAAAGACTGGAGTAATGATGTTAAAAATTCAAAAATGTAAAAAAATATTTCACAATATTACTGTTTTTACAGTATTTTTGATAAAATAAATGCACTCTTGGTGAGAATAAGACACTTCTTTCAAAATATCTTACAGACCCCAAACATTTGTATGGTAACATATGTATTTCACATGTAAACATGGATATAAAACATGATAAAACCACTGTATGTTTTACTAAAACCCATATTTAAAGAAGCTTCGTACCTTCTGGTCTGGCTGTGAATATGTACAGGAACTGGTTGTTGTCTTACACTCTGGGCAGCATTTCCCAGGCAAATGGACCAGTTTTTCTCCCTGGCACAAGGTGAGAAATGTTAGTTCATTTAATTTCAGCATGAAAACACCCACAGGGGAATGATTAGCTGTCTGACACAGAGCCACAAATCTCTAATTACATCACATTTCCAATTCTACCTCTGAGGTTCTTTATAGGGGGCCGCTATCAATAGTCATTTACATTCATGAGAGAATCTTTAGTTGTTTCTGTGTAACACAGTCAGATCACAAAAGCCATGGTGGTCTTACAGGCGAATCAGAATATGTCAGTGAATTACGGAACTACAGATGGGAAAGAGGGTTTGATCAATGTTTTCAAAAAGATATAGAAGCATCTGTTGTATTTCTTTGTTGTTTAATCAGACGCTCTATTACTATGACTTCAATGAATATCAGCACTCATTTTAATTAATGCAGGACCTTAAAACCACTGCACTGAAAAAAATTAATATACAGGTGCATCTCAATAAATTAGAATGTCATGGAAAAGTTGAATAATGAATTTATTTCAGTAATTCAACTCAAATTGTGAAACTTGTGTATTAAATAAATTCAATACATACAGACTGGAGTAGTTTAAGTCTTTGGTTCTTTTAATTGTGATGATTTTGACTCACATTTCACAAAAACCCACCAATTCACTATCTCAACAAATTAGAATACTTCATAAGACCAGAGGCGGAAAAGAAATCACCCACTGACTTTCAAAGATGCTAACGACTTTCTACTTCGAGGACCTTGATATAAATGTAGTGGAGTGAAAAGTACAATATTTGTCTTTCAAATGTAGTGAAGTTAAAGTCACAAGTTCTCAGAAAAAATAATACTCAAGTAAAGTACAGATACTCAAAAAGTGTACTTAAGTACAATACTCAAGTAAATGTACTTAGTTACTGTCCGCCTCTGCATAAGACCAATGAAAAAAAATGTTTTAGTGAATTGTTGGCCTTCTGGAAAGTATGTTCATTTACTGTACATGTACTCAATACTTGGTGGGGGCTCCTTTTGATTTAATTACTGCCTCAATTCGGCGTGGCATGGAGGTGATCAGTTTGTGGCACTGCTGAGGTGGTATGGAAGCCCAGGTTTCTTTGACAGTGGCCTTCAGCTCATCTGCATTTTTTGGTCTCTTGTTTCTCATTTTCCTCTTGACAATACCCCATAGGTTCTCTATGGGGTTCAGGTCTGGTGAGTTTGCTGGCCAGTCAAGCACACCAACACCATGGTCATTTAACCAACTTTTGGTGCTTTTGGCAGTGTGGGCAGGTGCCAAATCCTGCTGGAAAAATGAAATCAGCATCTTCAAAAAGCTGGTCAGCAGAAGGAAGCATGAAGTGCTCCAAAATGTCTTGGTAAACAGGTGCAGTGACGTTGGTTTTCAAAAAACACAATGAACCAACACCAGCAGATGACATTGCACCCCAAATCATCACAGACTGTGGAAACTTAACACTGGACTTCAAGCAACTTGGGCTATGAGCTTCTCCACCCTTCCTCCAGACTCTAGGACCTTGGATTCCAAATGTCAATGATTGTCTTCTGGACAACTGTCAGATCAGCAGTCTTCCCCATGATTGTGTAGCCTAGTGAACCAAACTGAGAGACCATTTTGCAGGCTCAGGAAACCTTTGCAGGTGTTTTGAGTTGATTAGCTGATTGGCATGTCACCATATTCTAATTTGTTGAGATAGTGAATTGGTGGGTTTTTGTTAAATGTGAGCCAAAATCATCACAATTAAAAGAACCAAAAACTTAAACCACTTCAGTCTGTGTGCACTGAATTTATTTAATACACGAGTTTCACAATTTGAGTTGAACTACTGAAATAAATGAACTTTTCCATGACATTCTAATTTATTGAGATGCACCTGTATATATATATATATATATATATATATATAAATAACCTGAATACATTAGTTAATGCCAACAAAACTAAATATAAAGGGATAGTTCACACTAAAAAGAAAATTTTGTGATAATTTACCTACATTCATGTCACTCATCTTCACAACACAAATGAAGATATTTTTATTATACTCTTATCTTTTTTGTCCATCCATTGGTTGTTTTGAGTTCAAAGTTGAACAAAGGTTTTATGATTTTGGACTGACATGAGGGTGAGTGAATGATGACAGAACTATCCCAAAAATGGGACTAGAAGAAAAACTAGTAGAAATATCTCTAAAGAATTGCATGTTACCACTTTTTACAGCATGCATAATAGTTTTTTGCACCAGAATGTATGTCACATTTAAAACCTGAGAGGTTTCTCTTCAAACTTGTGTACTACTCTTTTAAACTTCCATTACAAACTTTACCTTGACAGTAATGAAATTCACAGGACTTAAAAATTTTTAAAGGGGTCATATGATGCGATTTCAAGTTTTCCTTTCTCTTTGGACTGTTACAAGCTGATTGTGCATAGATAAGATCCCTGAAGTTGCAAAGACTAAAGTCTCAAAACCAAAGATATATTCTTTATCAAAGTTAAGACTCTGCCACGCCCCCCTAAAACGGCTCGTTCTAACACGCCCCCACATATCTACCTCACTATGTGGAAATATTTGCATAATGCTGCCCAAATGTGCACGCAAAGAAAGAAGGCGTGGTTTCAGTAACCGCAGTTAGTGTTGAAGCAGCCATGGCAGGGAGACGCTGTGTGTTTCTAGGCGAAAGCAAAAGCACTTTATTTGGCCTTCCGAAAGTAGATGGATTTAGGAATCTTTAAGATGACTTACAACAGAACAGCAATGCATTTTATGGACGACCGTTTCGTGAACCTAGGAGAGGAGGTAATTCTGACTTTGCTATGACAATCTGGTGCTTCTGAATCAGCTACTGTTTTGTTATTAGTTTAAGTATTTGCTATTGACTGTTCAAATGCGGAGTTTTGCACATCGTGTGTGTGTGTGTGTGTGTGTGTGAGAGAGAGAGAGAGAGAGAGAGAGACAGCGTCACATCACAGTGGAGTCAGCTGTCTTAACCGTGGCTTATGTACTGCAAACACATACAGCTTCATCACGCGACTCTGTTCCCCTTTCGGGCTCTGTCTTTACATTTATTTTGAAAGATGAAGATCGCGATTATGGTAAGGGGCGTTACATTTCCGACGAGTGCTTACGGTGTTCGGCCAATCACAATGCACTGGGTCAGCTGGCCAATCAGAGCAGACTGCGCTTGTTGGAAGGAGGGACTTTGTAGAAAATGAAGCGTTTGAGAGAGGCGGGGCATAGAGGACCTACAATAATGTACAGTATTTGAAAAATAATGTGTTTTTTGAACATTAAAGCATGTCAACATATTCTGTTACACCAAATACACAAAATAATGATCTTTAAAAAAGCATCATATGACCCCTTTAAGTTTCCTCTCTAAAGAATAACCTTTACAGTGGCAATTCTGGATTTGGGCCAAAAGTATAATTAATAAGTGATAAATCTCCACATTGCTCAACCTTTCAAAGCTCCTTATGATTAATGGAGAAGCAGAGAATATATTGATTGAATAAAGTTATAATTCATAACCAGGACAAATGACCACAGAGATAATGTGCCCCAGGTCTCAAACTCATCTGGTATATTTTGCCCTAATAATAGTCAACATTTTACATATAGGGCATCCCCTCAAGCTGAGCTTGTTAATCGTGTCTTTTAATGAGCAGGGTAAGTATGTGTCCCTGCTGATGGCTCTGCATAGAAATGTGTTCCTTATAAAATTTGGACACATACCCGTGGGCACTCCGATCTGGTGCACTCGACCCGTTGGCACAGCACCTGACCCCGTTCACACATGCAGAACTCACAACCCGTGCCGTTCCACATATCACCATGGTAACGGACAATGCCCTCATAGAGGCAGCTGCCTTTTGATGAGACACAATCTTCACAGCACTGCCCGGCTCGCTTGACCTTCGTCTGAACCTGAGGAGTCACACGTTAGCAGACATTATAAAATGTCACACTTGTTATAATGCACATCAAATCATTTGGTAACACTTTATTTTATGGTGTTCTTGTTACACATTACATGTACTTACTATTATAATAACAATAAATTATGCATAATTTCATGCAAGTAACCCTAAGCCAAACCCTAACCATATAGTAAGTACATGAAGTTAATTACTATTACTAAGTACTTAAGTGTATAAATACACTGTAACAAGGACAGCTTAAAATAAAGTGTAACCAATCATTTTTACTTGTGCCTCAGTTTGTAAAAAAAAATCAGTTGTAAACAACAACTTCCATTTAATAGAGCCTAATTTATATACAACCCAAAATATTTTCTTATAAACCTCACAAAATTGTGTGTTGATGTATTTGGAAGTTTTAGAAATTTAGGAATTAGGAGTTTGAACTGAACCTACTGAAGGGCTTGTCCCTGTATATTTTTTTTAGGAAAATATACAATAGCCTAGAAGAAAAAAACTAAAGAACTGTATAAATGCTAAAAGTGAATTTCGCCAACTTTTAGCATAGAGATGGACTCCAGTTATTAAAATAAATACTATAAGCCATAAAACTCTAATTTTCATTTAATGAGGTAATTTCACGCTCTTTAAGGAGTCACACTTATTAAGGTAAGATATAAAAACGAAATGTCTGTTCCTGCTGAGTATTGTTCTAAAGCACAGTTACATAAGATCATGAATTTTGCATGAAAGCAAAAGACTGAGATGAAAAACACCCCGGAGCAACAGACAAAATGCAAAATATATGGTGCAAACAATCCTGGATGACGAAAAATCCTAACTGTCACTTTTAGGCCCAAGAAGCATAAACTGCAAGAATCAAAGTGAGATTGTATTAAATTGTAAATGACAACAATCGGTTAGCCAACAGCATCTCTTTCGTGATCTTCTCAGCAAGTGTGGAGGTCAAGAAACTGTCTTTGACATGAAGTGTTGGGGTGTAATGGATTTCTGCTGACCTTATCACAGTGGAGAGGAGGGCACTTCTCCGTCTGACAGCGAGAATGACCGCGATCGCACACACAGGAGGTACAGCTGCCCCTCTGCCACTGCTCGCCGTGCTAAGAACACACACACATACACAGTAAAAGAGTTCTGAGAGAGAGGAACATCTGTCATCAATACTGTATTTTTAAATGTATGTAAAAATAAAAAAATACAGAGCTACACCACCAATGTCTCGATTCAATTTCAAAATTCAGATGGCATCTCAATGCTGTTCAAAGCTTTAGCAGCAGAACAAATTACAGCACATAATGAATTTAAAGGAGACATATTATGCCCATTTTTACAATATGTAATATAAGTCTCTGGTGTCCCCAGAATGTGTCTGTGAAGTTTAAGCTCAAAATACTCCACAGATCATTTATTATATCATTTTGAAAATGCCGATTTTGAGTGGAAGCAGAAACACGCTGTTTTTCGTGCCTTTCTCTTTAAATGCAAATGAGCTGCTGCTCCCCGCCACCTTTTCCAGAATAAAGCTGCACCATTACAGCTCGGACCTGCTAAATATATCTGTTTATCGCTTTGAAATCATGCGTTTTAAATCATATTAGTTTAAACTTCTTATATACGGTTTTCTGAGAGCACACATCCGAAGCACACGGACAGAAAGCGGCTGTCACAGCATGTGAGTACTAAACTTCTCATTCACACACTAAGTTCTCATTCACAAACAAGTTTATGTTAAAAACACACATGAGTTACAAAAACAGTCGGTTATGTCTGTGAAGGTAAACAGCTGGAAAATAAATCACATGTTTATTTTAGATCTGTGTGGCAACAGCAATATTCACTAAATAAATCAATAAATCCTCTGCTCTCTTGTCTCCTCTGAGGCTGGGACTCTAAACAATGTTCTGTGCTCGTCTGTGCAGCCAAAGGCAGAACATTAGCATAAAAACTAGTACACCGTTGTCGCTTGCGAAATCAAAATGATGGCGCCATGGGTGGAAACTGACAGATTAAGGGGCGGTAATATTATAATGTAATCCCTTTGCAACGTCACTAGGGGAGCGAAATCAGACGCGCTCGTTTTTTCAGACACTTGCAGAAATAGGCTTACCAAAACAAAGTTACTGGGTTAACCTTTTTCACATTTCCTTGGTTGGTAGATGCACTGGGGACCTGATTATAGCACTTAAAACCTGGAAAAGTCAGATTTTCATGATATGTCACCTTTAAAATAAATGACAATTTCAGCCAATGCTGTAGTGAACAAGACAAGTACTAGAAGGAGATGAAAAGAGTGGTGAATGTTATCCTCTCTAAATCCCTGCTTTGCTTTCACACAATCCACTGTGATCAAAAGAGCTGAATTCCGCCGAGTGGGACGTGATCGCTGAAAGCACGGTGAACAGAGAAACAGCCCTAAATGACATGCTAATGAGAGATTTCGGGGACGCTTGTGACGTTTGAGTGTCTAAAGAGATGTGTCAGTACTGCAAGGATGTAACCACATACTCCAGACAGCGGTGATCAAATGGAATCATTTAAGAATTAACCACATGATTCAACCATCATCTTAATATGCCATGTCTATAGTAATATTGACTCTGGCGCTTTATTGGTATAAGAGAGTTTCATCATGACGCATGTGTGTGGTACTGCTGACGTAGAATACGTGCAGAGGAAAGCATGCACATGCGTCGTGATCCTCTCTATAATGGCACTAGGATGACGCGAAGAAGAATTGACAAGTAAAATCGTTATTTTAGTTTTCTTTGCACACAAAAAGTATTCTCATAGCTTCGTAAAATTACGGTTGACCAACTGATGTCACATGGTCCATTTTAACAATGTCCTTACTGCGTTTCTGTGTCTTAACCGTGGTAGTACCCTTGCTGTCTATTAGTGATGTGTCGTTCATGAACGATTTGTTCAGTTTGAACTAATCTTTAACATGACTCAGGAATGACGAGTCCTCTCAGCGAGGGATTCGTTCATTTTGTGTTGACATGCGCAACATCCTATTAGTTCTTTACAGGAAACAGAAATGATTAGTTCACCTCTCAAGTCTTCAGGTCTGAGTCGTTCGTTCTTTTGTCACATGACGTGATATCAGTATTGGATACAGATATAAGTTAACAATTCCCAACCTTCCTTACAAACGCGTTTCTGGTCTCAAATTGTAGCTTTTTTATTTCTCACAATTTATACAGTTAATAATATGTAATATTTGTATTTGTTGTAAGATACTGAGCCGGGAAGCGGGCACGTGATGAAAGAACGAATGACTCAAACCCGAAGACTCGAGAGATGATCTAATCATTTGTGTTTCTGGGACTGCATCGCGTTATAGCCTATGGGACTGGATGAACGAACGATTTGAACCCGAAGACTCGAGAGATGAACTACTCATTTCTGTTTTCGGTACAGACTGCATAGCTTCAGTTTATGGGGATGTGACGTGACAAAAGAAAGAACAATATGATCGGGGAGGTGAGGGAAACTAACAGACTGCATAAAACAATGAATTAATCTTTACCGTTTCTCATCATTTGGCCTTAAAGTTGCATTATAGTTTTATTGCATGAACAGTTGCGTAAGTAGATGTGTTGTGGAATTTGGCTATTAATGTAACGTTTTAATTATATTCTGTAAATGACTTGGAAAAAAAGATTTGTTCATTTTGATGAACGAGATTCAAAGAGCCGAGTTAGTAAAATGATCCGATCTTCCCATCACTACTGTCTATGGAAAAGCTCTCGGATTTCATATAAAATATCTTAATTTGTGTTCCAAAGATGAATGAAGGTCTTATGGGTTTGGAACGACATGAAGGTGAGTAATTAATGACAGAATTTTAATTTTTGGGTGAACTATCCCTTTAATGAAGCAGACAAAAACTGACAGAAATGACACACATCTTTAAATTTGACATGTAACGGAAGTACCAACAGATAATTTCTTCTGTATCATGATGTGCATCCAAGTGAAACAGATTATTGGAATAAAATGTAGGGAGGGAAATTGGTTCTGTCCTTGGGTTTTTGATTGGATGGGAGCAGATCTGATTGTAAGCTTGCAGTCAATAATAAAGTGTATTTGCCCTAGAAAACTAAACTAAAATAATAAAATTAACTAAAATATGAAATAATTAAAGGAAACAAAAGAAAATATATATCTATGTTGCAATAATTTTTTCTGTTGTTATTTAGGAACCGATAAATAGTAAAGATATGTGAGGTCTTGTGTTCTACAGGACCATAAAGTCCTAAACATTATCACAATTTTTTCCATAAAGTAAATACAATGCCTGACGAAAACAAGAAACAGTGGCAAAGGAAAGCAATCACTGTCACAAGAAGTTGTACATTAAAGAAGTTGCAGCTTACTGTACCTCCATTATGAGCACATACAGGGCAGCAGTCTCCATCTGGGATGAAAGGACTCTGGTCTTTCCCACAACTAAGAGGAGGACAAGCACGTGGCCCACAGGTCACCTTCCCATGAGAGCATGTGCACACCGAACATTTGGAATCACTCCACTGACTGTCATGCTGAGTGAGTGAGTGAGTGGGAGAGAGAGAGTGGTAAATCAGGACTTGGATGAAGAGAGATGCTGATTGCAAAACACAATAAAAGTCTTAAAAATAAATTAGAAAACTGTTATCTTTAAATTTGTGCAAACAGGATATCACAGATATCACTTATTGTTCTGAGCCTCAATGCCAACACAGCCTGCTCTCCTAAGTAAATGCTACTTGACTTGAAATCTACACTGCTAGAATCTTAAACAGAGCACCAAGTGGCTCTTTAGCAGGGATGACTGGGACAAAGAAGAAGCTCGCTTTGTCAGGGAAGAGTGGAACGGTAACGGTAACGGTAACGGTAACGGTAAACCGCTTTTGTGCACAAAACGAAGCAATCACCGAGTCGGGTGTTTAACCAGAAGTGGGAAGATTTGCCAAGGAACAGGATGAGGCTTTAAGCATCTTTCATTGGAGTTGTGTCATAAGCAGTGTCACTTACCCCATAAACCATTCCTTCATGCTGACAGATCCCAGGCAACTGTGCAAAACATTCCGGACAGCACTTGTTGGGTGGGATTCTCAAGCGGTCACCCTAGGAAAACATCCCGAAAGACATTTAAAGAGATGCATTAACATCCTAGAGAACGTTTTATCAGGACTCAGGAGCAAAGAGACATAATACAGGATCAAAACTATTGGCATTTGCAACCAGTGTTATTTTAGTATTATTTATGTACTACAAACAAATTTATTCCGTTTGAATGAGCTTTTCAAATGTTCAGTTTTCATTTCAAATTTGGTTTAGGTTTTAAGTAATTTTGTTATGTGCTTTGCCATTTTTTTTAAAAATATTGATAGTTTTAGTACATCAGCTGCAACCTATTTTTATTTCTCTCCAAGGCAACATTTTTCAAGCTTGAATTTTTTATCTAATATTAATAATTCATTTTATTTCAGCTTTATTTCAATGAACAAATTTTTTTTTTGTAGTTTTAGTTTTAGTTAACAGTAACAACACTGTTACGGCTACACACAATTCTTGCAAGGTTTAATGGCAATAAGATTAACTCCAGCAGTGGCTTTATTGAATGAACAAGTGTTTTTGAAGAAATCCATTGTGAATGATTCAATGACTGACTCATATAAAGATGTACTGGTGTACTAATGTTACTAGCAGAAAGTGAAATATACTGTATACAGCAGTGGCGAGCAGTGACTTTTTTAACGGGGTATGCTGAGTGCTAAGATTAAGATCCCCCCTCCTCGTCGGCTTTTAGGACACACTCACAGAGGGAAACACAGTGGCAGGTGTCAATTTAAATGTATGCACATTTCCTACATTATTTGTAAATGAAATTCATCTCCAATCCGTCTGCTTTCATTTCAGGTTTATCCATTGTTATTCGAATGCTAGAAAAACATATAGCTGCTTTTCCAAGTAAAAACCGCCAAATCACATTTACATGTACTTATGTTATGATATGTAATATTCAGAGGGTGGGATGATGGGGGGTTCCCCCGGTCTACATGTCTCTGCGTCGACTGCATACTGAAAACAATGGTAGCCTAAAAATAAAATGTCAAATATGTTTTCAGTGGACTTTCAAAATTTGCTTTGCTTGAGAAAGCATGAAATATATAGTTACTATATTTTTCATTTGATGTAGTCAAATTAGTTTTGCATCAAAGACAATGTAATTTTCAGCAGTCGAGATTTGGCAGTAACAGCACATTTTTCTGATGTAGATTTGTTTGTCAAATAAATAATTTTACGTACTTATTCCCAACACTTTATTAAGCTTCAAGTTACATCTCAAATGACAAGGGATCAACTTATAATCATGTTTATATTAATTAACCTGCAAACTCATTCTCTCAGATGGCCTGGGTATGCAGACCATTCGCAGCTTATATGGAAGGAAGCCACAGGTATACAGACTCTTGGAACACTCTGGCGGATCAAGTCGGTTATATAATCTTTAATGAGCTCACTTAGAAATCCTTTGAGAACAAAGTTACATCTTTTAAATGGTTCTTGGTAGAACCATCATCGATCTAACCATTTACAACACGGTTCTTAGTATTGGTTGCTTTTAATTGGACCAAAAGCATTAATGTTTGATTGCCCGCTTTCATTCCTATAAGCTAACAATCCATTCATCAAGCACCTAAGCCCTGTTATTGCCCTGTTTTAATGGCCCATGAGCAAATACTTCATTCTTACCCTCTGAAAGTCACAATGGGGATTTTGGCAGCGAGTGGGTTTACAGATGACAATATCATTGTAGCAGATGCAGTCTTGACAGGTGTCTGGTTTCCATGATGTATTGTTCTATAACAGGAAGAAAGGTACAAAGATATAACTCCATGCACACCAAATGCCATCATCTCTCGGTTTATGAAGCTTGCGTTGGGAATGGCACGGCACTAAAAAGCAAAACCTTGACAGTGTAACATCTGGAGATGACAACATAAAAACAAGTCAGAGGGATCAGTGTCCAGGCTCAAATAATGAACCTAAATAGAGCAATTTCCTTACTAAACAATCACAATCATCAATTTTCAAAACAGCTTCAGAAATTGTCGTATTTGTTAGAAATTTAAACCGACACCATTAAAACAAGGCCATTAGAAACAGTAAAGCTGTCTGGCATTTAACCTGAGACATCCCCATTCCCTACAATAAATGTTAGAGCATTAACAGATAAGAGTCAAAGAGGTTGCTTTGGTATTTTAAGATGTATTAACAGCCTTGCCTGAGGGACCTACTGCTTTAAAAGGGTATCGGATGAACAGATAGGTAAAACAGAGGAGGAGCCATGTAGCCTTTTCACTGAACTAATCTAAGCAGACCTAAACAGACCGTTTGGACTGGTCCTAAAACAGGGTCTTAAAGGGGTGGTTCATTGCGATTTCACTTTTTTAACGTTAGTTAGTGTGTAAGGTTGCTGTTTGAGCATAAACAATATCTGCAAAGTTACGAAGCTTAAAGTTAAATGCAAACAGAGATATCAAAATTCTGGCAGTTTAATGCCTACAAAAACGGCTGGTAGGGACTACAACAAGTTACTTCCCGGGTGCGTGACATCACAAACCCTGCCCCTGGGAAAAGGCAGCAGAGGGGGCGATGCCATGCTGCACTGCTTTAGAGAAGAGGAAGAGAAAACTAGAGGTGCACGTAAAAATCTGTTCATATATGAATCGTGATTCTGTCTTCTAACGATACTAATGGATTCACAGGTTTCAAAATCAATGTTCAAAAGCAGCGGTTCTTAATACTGTTCCTCGCGTTCCCCTGCTCTGCACACGCTCTGCATCTCTCTTTCTCTCTCATTCAGCTCAGCTCCAACAATGAACTGTTACAATTATACACTTATTTTCACATAGCTATGAGAAGCGTTAAACATGGATAAAACCGTATATTAAAAGCTAACATAAGAAGTAGCATTTACAACAGCGTATCTAAAAGTATGAGACAACAACAAACAAAAAACATAGGCCTACCATTAAAAGCCGTGCTCGCACAGATTCTGCACGATCCTCTTCAGATAGTATCCTCTGCTTCTCAATCGGGCTCAAACTGATAAGCAATATTAACGACACCTTGTTTACAATACAACCGGAGCACATGCCGCTGAGGTGAGGGGCGGGACGATTAGACGCGCACTTGAGGCGGTTTAGCCAATCACAACACACTGGGCTAGCTAACCAATCAGAGCCCATCGCCTATTTCTGAGGGAGGGGCTTCATAAAAACAGGAAAAGATCAGTCCGTTTCTCAGAGAAGGGACAGAGCTGTGTGGAATAAAGGTAAATTATGTGAAAAATAATCCGTTTTTTTTTTTTTTTTAAACGAAGCATTAACACATGTTAGACTGCACCCCATAAACACAATCAAGCCTGGAAAAAACCCAGTGAACCACCCCTTTAAGAAAGGCTGTATCAATGCAAGCCAAGACAGGCTGTGACTACAGTGGTCGCAAATGCGACAAAATAAACATAAATTGTAAACAAAATGTAGACACCTTTGACAACAGTTAGGAAAGGTTTGTGTGCATTTTAAAGTGGTTTGGTCAGATGTCATCTAGTTGAAGTACACGCCATTGTTTCCTACACACAACAAACACACACTCTTATGGACCATTCATTTTAATGAGTTAGGAAATGAATTCCCACTGTAACTTGGAATTCTGAATTAATAACAGTATTCTAAAAAAAATCAAATAATATTATTTGTTATTGTTTTGCATATATGCTCAATGTTATTGCTGAATTAACTGTAACTTTGTTTGGATGACTATATTCAACAGAACATTTAACACTTTCCCCCTAAATAGGCAAAAATATTAATTCACACTTTAGTTTGGGGACCAATTCTCACTATTAACTATGACTTTTGCCTTAATAAACGCTTAATTTTCTGCTTAATAATAGTTAGTAAGGTAGTTGTTAAATTTAGGGATCGACGCTGAAGGGATCTAGAATATAGTAATGCAGAATACGGCATTCATATGTGTTTTAAGTACTAATAAACAGCTAATATGCAAGTAATATGCATGCTAATATACAACTAGTTAATCGTGAGAATTGCTCTCTAAACTGAAATGTTACCAAATATTCTTACAAAACAGTGATATTTAAATGGCACAAATACAGTCAAGATCACTAGAGTAACATCATTAAATCAGAATAACACAATTTAATTTCATTTATAATAGCTATACAATACAATGAAGTAATATTGTTTAAGAGGGCCTTCAACTAGGCAAGATATCCATATTTAATCCAATCGTTTAAATGCATCAAGCAGTAAGTTATGTCAAAAGTTCATGTGACAATTCAGATATATGCACACAAAACTTTGATTTGCTCTTACTGATCATAAATTCTGTATGGCTGTATTATAAATCACACACAGTGACAGCTATCCTGAGGAGCCATCTTGTCAAAGTGACACTTTGAGCAAGTGTTGATGGCTTGCGCATTTCAGCACAGCACCTAGCCTCTGAAGTGACACTCAGCACAGATGTCTTAATGGGGAATGGCCCCAATGTGGCTTTGAATGGCCTGCTCAGAGAGATCTGAGCAGAGTCAATATCTCAGCAAACTAGCCGTGGTTTCCAGACGCCCAGACTAAAATCTCAGTCTGTTTGTGTTCTAAAAACACATCTCATGTGATCTGTGGCATGCAGCACATTCATGCTAGACATTCAGTCTAGAAAACATTGTTAAAAATTCACATTATGTGAAAACAAAAAATAAAACATGGGTAACACTTTACAATAAGGTCCCATTTGTTAATATTAATGAACTATATTAGTTAATATAAACCATCAATGAATAATACTTCGAAATCATTTATTAACCTTAGTTAATGTTAATTCAACATTTACTAATACTAACATTGGCAAAGATGAATAAATACTGTAACAATGTTTTGTTCATTATTAGTTAATGCATTAAATATAGTTAACAAATGGAACCTAATTGTAAAGTGTTACCAAAATATGTATTGTTCCAAGCACATATTCTTCTGTGGAACATAAAAGGTTGGTCTTTGAAGAATATTCTGGACACTCTTTTCCATAGAAGCAAAATAAATTAAGAGTATACAAGAACAGCTGCAAAAGGGAAAGTGTGCTGTGCTTTCTTTATCATAACTAGATAAAACCCTCTATGGGACATTACTCACAAAACTATTTGGTATTTCTTGTCATTTCATAAATTATCATCTTATCAACCCAATCAAAACAAAACAAATTTGAATTAGCCTGAGCTAGCTTGAGATTACATTCCTATTGCATAGTGAGTAAGCAGGTCCCTGAAGTATTGAATTTTTAATAGCTAGTTTTTGTAATGACAGAAAGCATGTTGTATATCTCCAGCAGCTTTTTGGAGCATTTTTGAGCAAGCAACACATTTGAGAAAATGACATTTTAGCTGAACAATATAGGCCACAGACGTTTGTGCTCCAAGCACAACAATCATACAAAAAAATGTAATGACAATTAAATGAGTCTCTGTCTGACATCTGTCTAAATAAAATATAAAGATTAAATGAAAAAAAAAACAATTAAAGCAAAGAAAATTAGATATGATGCCTTGGGACCTAACTAAAATAAGTTAAAGCTGAAGCACTAAAATTGCTAAAACTATCAAATTAAATTAAAGCTGTATAAAAATAAATATTATGACAAGCACATAACAAACTTTCTAAAATGGAAACTATTACTAGATTTCTAACTGAAAACATAAAAACGAATAGAAAACAGTATAAACTATCAAACGGTAGCCTATATAAATAAATAACACTGGAATTTACCAATTGAATTTAATGACAATAATCCTCTGATTTAAAATCCTATCCTTACAAAATTATAATTTCACTTGAACAGTATATGAGGTAAGCTTCAGGCATGCATTATGTCAGTATGTCATATTTTTGCATGTCCAGTAATATCTATTTCATTTTCACTGATAAGCGTTAAAAAAAAAGTTACTAGAAGATAATTTAAGATAATTTAATGTGTTACTAAAAAAAATCTTCGTATATTTTTTTATTAAACCTTTACATGTTCTTTACAAACATACCTTTATTATGTTTTTTAACGTGCAATAATGACTGGAAACTACATACTGTATGTAAAGTCATGACAGCTATAAATTCATAAGCACACAAATGCACCTTTTCTGGAATATGATGACTTATGGTAAAGTTATTTATCATTTTCAACTCGTTCCAACTCATTCTTTCAAAACTGTCACAAGTCATTCGAACCTCATATTATACAGTGGTCCCAAAATGTATTTAAACATATCTGAACACCTAAAAATGTCTGAATTTAAATGCATTTTTTTCTATATTTGCAATGACCAGTCTCAAGGTTATTGTTAGTGAATCTATAAAGTTCATACTGTAGCCACAGGGGTAGTTCCATACAGTTACGATGAATAATTTTGTCTTGAATTAAAAACGATCTATTACTAAACAATAAAGTTGAGTTGTTTTCTAAAGGTGGTTTTGCAGGCACGTTCACATCCTCCCCAAAAAGCGAAGAGAGCGGGTATCTGTGTCTAAAAGCTATTTGGTTGATGTATTGAGCTGTCTGAAACACAAAGTAATAATGAATGAGACCCTGGACCAGCTTCAAACAACGTATGAGAAGAATGAACAAATAAGGACACTAGTTGGTGAAGCTAAAAATAGGTCTGCATTTGGTCCAGTTGACATGTTTAAGTTAGCAGGAGCATACTGTGGGTTAGATGTACCTGCACAATCTCCAGGGCACACGAGAGTTTGTGTGACAGAACATATTTGATCAATCAGCTGAGG